AAACTACCAAAAGGGAGAATGGCTCCCTAAAGCAAAAAGAAGGAGCACAGTGCGAAGTCGATAAACGGTAGGACCTCCTTCAAGTGGGGGCAAGTCGGCGGCGGGGAATACACGAGAAAGTGGAGAAGACAAAGTAGTAAACGTCAAAGAAGTAATGGCTAAATAAAAATTGAGAGATATTTTCTGAAATAGTAAGCCTAAATCTTCGCGTTTCCACTGAAGAGGCAAAAGGAAAGAAAGGGATGGAGGGCTGCATGCGGCCAATCGAAGCAGCGCCGACAGTGATGATTGTACCCCACAAATTATGAATATACCCTCGTCTCTCACGATCCTCTCAGCCGAAAGCTATTTTCTTTGTTTTATTCTGGCTACTCAGGGGCAAGCACCAGCGGGAAAGGCGATGTTGGCCTCTTCTATTTTCGCAGTTTTCCCGTTGGAGCACCCTAGAAGCGCTCTTGGGGACTCCGGCGTAGGCCTAGTGCGGAAAAAGTGCAGGATCATGTAATTTTCCAGTCCTTTTTTCCAAGCATTTGACCACAGTTACACCCCGTACAGCGACTAAACTTTGGCTGGGGAGTCACGAAGCCCATACCGGCGCAGCTGCCTCACAACCCACTGCAGTCTGCGCAGCGTTATGTAACAAAACACATACTTCTGGCCATATGCTGCCGAATTTGGGCAAATTCATTGCTGCGTAATGGGGTAATGCCCTACTGCTCGCAGCTCCAGAGGCATCAATGGCGTCCTAGGAGTGTAAACTAACAGTGACTGACTATTAAAACAGGTAGCGTGACTGGAGAGCATCAGGATTGCACTGGACCGGCTAAAAGAGCTTTCAACAGGTGTTTAAGTCCGTTAAGTGCTAGGGTCCTACAACATCAAGTCACGGCGCTGTGTGGACATACGGTACGTGGGCCTCACCAGTGAATAAACCCCGGTGCGTACGCCGCAAAAGTGAATACATCCTCGAAGGGGCTCACAGTAAATCCGTTGTGCCAACGATGCTGACAAAGATATGCCTCACTTCACTAATCGGTGTCTCGGTGACTCCCCATCCTCACGCTGTATTCCCTTCGCTAATCCGCTGCCAGGTGCCGGATGGGTATTTCCCCGGCAGTACTCGGCCTTTGCCCCACTAAGCATGTCCAGGTTTCTATTAGTTGCGTTCGTACTTTACCAAGTGGTGGGTATGACCCTGTGGAACCCTACATAGACAATGGCGACAACCACATCAAGTTCGTCCTTGCCTAAAGACGAACATGCAAGTGGAAGGGCACCACCAAAGTTACGTCTTCTTCACGAATAAGAAACTCATTGGCTCCCCTCCGAAAACTGGGCTATGTGTTTCTCCTGCCGTATTGCCCACTGGGTCTCGAGGGAAGTTGGCGTACACATATATTTCTCTTCTTCTGTCGGTAGATACGACGAAATGATCTTAAGAAATAGACAGTTCTGCGCACTATGCTCTAGGAATGCAGGAGCAGCCGTGCAACTAAACAGCGAAGTCTTCTAAAACGTCACTCGGTAGTCTTGGATAACCTCTAAACAGCAGGAAACGAAGAGCACTGCTGCCTCCGCCCATCATGGCTACGATGACTGCGAGATGAAAAAGAATTAACGGGGGACAGCGTTTACGTGGAATGAAGAATAGAGAAACAATGAAAAACAATGAAGTCGCAAACGAGCTGCATCCTGGTCACCCGTCTACAGGCAGAACATGGCCCTCCCTCGAACAAGTACGAACAAGTAACAGCGACGGCAATACCACGAGGCACGCTAGCACGTGCATTTACATGGCGCATTGACACGCACAGGCGTACCGCGAAGTGCGCATAACCTTAGTATGAAGATGCATATGGACGGGGAAATGTGTAGAGATACAGGCGGCACTTGCACGCCCCTCTACCTAGGCAGGTAAGGTCTCGGTCCGCATCATTCTCATCTCCACGACCAGTGCGGCACCAGAAAGAAAGGGCGCAGCAATATTGGCATTCAACGCGTCTCTACCACGTGTGCCCCTTCTCCAAAGAAACGACAGCCAGTGGGAATATCCCGACCCCGCTTCATTTGAGATCCCCCTCTCTGTCACCTCGGTTGTTGACAAGCCTCCCACGGCGTCACCCAGAGGGACTCCTGGACTCCCACTGGAGCTGCTACTCGTAGAATGATTCTCTCCACCAGAGGTTGCCGAACTGCCTCCAGGAGGATTGGCCGGATCAGCAGGTGGCGGCGGTGAGTCGTTGGGGAAGGCTTGCGGTGATGGTGGTAAGGCAGATAGGGCCTCTCTGTATACACCAAAATGTGCTAGTAGCTCTTTTAAAACGAGAAAATGCCACCACGCATGATGAAACACTGTACAGCGCCGAGACAACTGTGTGCGATGGAGGGAAGAAGTGCTGTTGACACATGCAACAAACACTCTCAGATCTTCCCGGTTAGGCGCTGAACCCCGTTTGAGACAACAAAAACCTTCTAAAGAGACCTGCATGCTAGCTCAGTACTACCCTGTCGTCGATTAATAAAACAGAAACCGAAGGCTGACAAAAAAACTCTCGATACAACGAGGCCCGTAACGCCTGTTGCATTACACATGCGTTCAGCATTGAAGAAGAGCAAGGGAAAAGGCACCATTCTCACTCGTCCTTCATGGAGGCTTGCAACAGTCACACACTACACTATTCCCATCGAAAAGCGGAACTAGCGGAAACAACAAGAAAGGCGTGGTGCGACAAGTGGCAGGTGCACGGATGCAAAAAGGCAAAGCAGAGCCACGGCCGAAACAGTGAAGATAGCTACCTAAAGTTGTGTCTTGTGTCGCACCGTCTTTGTCTGATGGCGAGGAAGATGAGCTGGAAGAGGATGAAGTGGTAGTAGAGGAAAAGGGAGAGCAGAAAGACAGTCACCCCCTTCAGTTCCGCAAAGGCTACCAAGAGGAAGCCCACCACAAAGAAGGAAACAAATACAACAGCATTGAAGCAAACGCAGCTGCGGAACATACAACACACCGCCGAAAAACACGCATAGACGCCACAAAGTCCTCTTCTGCATTCAAGGCGAGTTTTTGGTTGTATGCAGAGCTCTTAACAGCTCTGCATACAAACCAAAAGCTCATACGGAACGCAGGCCTTGGTTGCGCCCAAAACTGGAGACCGAACGTGAATGCAGTTGCTTAAAAGTAGCTCATTTCCCAAATTTCTACTTCACATTTGCTACGCGGTCATCCCTCCTGAGCACTGAACTGGTTCTATGTAAAAGAGAAAATAACTGTCCACGCGCTTTTGAACTGTGGGGGACACACAAGCCTGAGCAGAATGGGTGAGCTGGCGGGCCGTCATCGTCCATCAGAAGCCTTGCTAATGAAGCGAGGAGCTGCTCCTGCAAGTCGGTGGCCCCCTCGCCAACGGGCTGCGGAGGTCCCTGAGGGCAAACATCCGGTGGGAGTGCACCCCTGCCTACGAAAAAACAAGCATACACTATGTGCAAAACGTTTGCTCAATGCAACGGAACCTGCTGCTACAATATGTTATATTATTGTCTTATTATAAAAAGACGGCAAGCATCTGTCCTAACATCAATTACAACGAGTACAGGCCAACCTGTCCTGCAGATGGAACAGCGAGAAGTGTCAGGAGCTCTGTGTCCCAAAAGACGAGCTCTGAACGCAGCCAGACGCTGCCTCCTCCTATAAGCAGTCCTAGTTACAACAAGCACATAACTTCATGTCAAGGAAAGGACTGAACTACAAATGCGCCAGCAACCGAGCTACCTGTCCAGCTTGTTAGTTAATTTACTACTTCGTTAATCGACTAGTTATATGGCCAGAGCCAGGTGGTACGCTACTCATGTTAGTAGCCAGGTAGCTACTTAAGTGGCTAGCTAGTTCCATGTTCAGTCAGTTAGCCCGCCAACTCTCTTAACATTGAACTCGACCGTACGGTTCCTAGATATCTCGTCGCACTGCCACTTGACTCCTTAGTTAGCTAGATTTCCAGCTACCTAAGTGGCTTCACAAACAGGAAGCATTCAAAGACGTAATTCTCGCCCGTCAAGCTGACACGATTGCTTGACTGTCACTGCACGGACGGGGAAAGCCTCACCAACATTTTTCATGCACGACAGCGTAGCACTGCGAACAGCAAGGGTGCAGTAATTTGGGAGGAGCTCCTCTCCTGCCTTTTCGCGGTCCTTCTAGACAAATGAAGCAGCTGCGGATGTGCCCTCCAGCATCAGCCAACAAGGGAGACTCAAGCGGGTACCCCGTTACAGCTGTTCCACCGGAGCTTGCAGAAGCAGAGCGTTGAAGGGCTGCCTGCGGACCTCCCCCTCCAGTAGCGCCCGCCTCTGGCTCTGTGGGACAAGATGAGTGCCTGCTTGATAAGGCAGACGAGGGCTGGGCAACTGCAGATGTGATGTGAGGACCCTCAACCTCCCGCAGAGGACCTCCCAAGAGTGGCGTCCCTCGCTGACTGTCTTCCGTATGCTCCATCGCTGCGACAGGAACACAGGGGAAGGACCTCCTGCTGGGACCTCATCCGTAGTGGGAGGAGCAGCAAGAGGCGTTCATGGACAGCAGTTACATCTGCCGTTCCCTTGAGCCACTTCTGGCTGTCGCTCTCGTGGGTAGTAATAAATTAGGCGTTGAGTGTAAACGATGACAAAAATATTGCAGTAACAGCTCAAGAAGTAAAATTAGCTGAGCAATCAAGACCCAATAGCTCTTTGAGGGCTTTAGGCAGCCCGTAGTCATTGGTTGCTGTACAGTATGCATGCCCAGCGCAGCACCGCATTAATTAACGACTTGCAAAATTGATATATTTCCGTTTCACTTATGAGCACTTTGCTTTTTTTGCTTTTGCATGTCCAAGAAGTTAGCAAATGAACAGTGTGCTTGTTGGAGATGTCTTAAGCCTCGCGAGCTCTTTATTCGGCTGTGGCGTGACCTCGCTTGCTTTCTACGTGTTGCGGGTGGCACACCAAACGAACCACGTTGCAAGTAGCCGATGAGTCACATGGCCCTTCGACCGATGACAGCGAAAACAGGGAAGCGAATCTCAGCAACCGGGCAGCTGGAGTATATGCGCCTCCCAAAAGATCCATTCGGTGCCTCCCCAGCAGGTTCTCAACAGCAAAAACGGGAATTCGGTCTACAGGATCAGCTTCCTCTTGAAGAAAGCGAGCAGAAGGGACTAGCAGATAAGCACGTGACGCTCAGTGACACAATATCACCCACTAGGGAAGGTGGGCTGGGGGAGCCCCAAGCCTTCTATATACGGAAGAAGAGGTAGGGGATATTGCCATTATGGTCTGGTCCTCAGGCCCCCACGTTCGGCGATAGCGTTTCTCAGTACTGTGTAGGGCCTCCGCCTGTCCGCTCCCCTCTCTGACCATTTTCCCTTACTACTGCCGCTTGGCCTGTCTCCTCTGACCCTTCTACTATCTTTCGCGCTGCTTCTGTAGCCCAGTTAATGTAGAACAGTATGTCAATACGTGCGTACGCCGGGGCAACTAGCATGCCTCGCTCTAACACTGCAAGCGCTCAACACTGTATGTTCCCTTATGCGGAGCACTTCGAACGGTGTATGCATTATTACTCATTGTTCGACGTATGCTTTCTGGGTGGACCACTCATTTTTGTTTGCTTTTTAAATCATGCAGACGGCGCCAGCGGCTGGATCCATGTGCCGCTATTTTAGCTCGACACCTCTACGCCGAAGACTTAACGGGCATGGTAGTCTTTCCGTCAGAGCCCCAGAGAGTAATCTCAACCGCCACAGGCGTAATCCTCTCACCATGCAAGAGTCTAACGCAGCAGACGCCGAAAGTTGGACCCAAGAGCCTTGCACAAGATACCACTTATACCACCTCAACGTACGAGCAGACAGCTGATATTGATTCAGTGGGTGTGCAGTGCAGCCCATTCGTCATTCGCACTGAGGGGCTAGTTTTAGAGCTATCACAGGGGCCCACAGCTGCTCCTTTAAAGCGGCTGAAGCTGCTGGAGGAAACGACGAAAAGGTCTTCACGGGAGAGTCTAAGGGGGCCTTCAAAGCTAACGGACGGAGAAGTGCTGCGTTTCAGAAAGGAAGACACCGGTCCCTTCGAGCAGGCGAAGAAAGATAAGGAGCAAACGGGCCACCTGTTGAAGTCGGAGGCGAGTGAAGAACGTGTTACAAGAGTGAGGAGCTCCTAATTTCGGTATCTGACGACATTTAGCTCCCTCGCGTCTGCTACCAGCCTTTCCTTTTCCGCCCTCCGGGAGGACTTCGCCAGGACCGCCTCATGCACTTCCAGCCGTATGGTTGACTTCAGTGCATGTTAGTCTCTGCGCACTGGGGCTGTACAAGTGTGCGTGTGGGGGGCAGTGGTTGTGTGGTGCACCTCCAAGCACTAGAGTTTACAGTTCCCGCTAGCTCGGTGGCCCTCGTAAGGCCACTTTTTCTATTGGTAATATGCACGCACTTTTATAAGCATTTGCATGTTTTTTTAAAGTGAGCTCTTGGTCAGCACCCTCTGTAGCAGCACCTGCACTGCAGGGCAGGGTGCTTCCCAGGCGCGATTGTTCTCCCTAGAAGCCGGCGGTTTAGGAAGAAATTTGCTGTTTGTAGGGCTCTCCAAGAAGCCTCTAGGACCCCTTGCGATGATCCCTCACCGCAAATGTTATAACATGTGCTCTTCAGGGAGGACATTTGCCCCCAGCCTCTGTGGGCTCCTCCTCCTGCTAGGAGAGAAGATACAGGGTAGCTCCCTGTGAACAAGTTAAGGGCTCTTCGAGCACCAACTTGGCCCTCAATTTGCAAACCTACATGCCCTCCTGTTCCTGCCGGGGGCCTACAGGGCGGCCGCTTGGCAGTAGGGAGGGTGTGTTGTCCTGTCGCAGGGCGGAAGGGCATATGACCTGCGTCTAGAGAGGTGGCAGACCTTTCTTTCGGCATGTTCAGTCGTCTAGTCCTGTCATCCTGTTTGGTGGAGATGCGTAGGGAGAAAGTGCACAGGCCTTTATCTGTAGACTCTTTGCTCCAAGGCCGATCGCGGCCCGACGGGGAAAAAATTTGTGCCGTACTTTCTCGTGTGAGCCAAACAGGTATCCGGACGGTTTTCTGTGGGGGGCACGCGATCTCCTTGCTGGGTTCTCTCCGAAGTACAGTCCAGAAGCTGCCAACATGAGGGCCCAGAAAAGATGCAATGTCGGCATTTTCTGCAGCATGGCGGCCCTCCATTTGTTGGTGCTTCTTGTTGAGCACGTGCAGAGCCAACAGGATGGTGTCTGCGCATTCCGGCAACATCGTAGTCCGATTCCGCAAATGCATAACGCATTTACCACAAGGACCTCCTATCGACAGAGCTGCTAGCAGCATTCACAGTAATGAGATATTCCTATTGCTGCTAGTGCCACTAAATAATTGGCGCGTTCGTATTGCCACCTGCTAAACTTCGGTATTCCGTATCCCATCTAAACGGGCGACAACAGCAATATCCGTTGTCTGTTTGGTGGTGTCCAGGGCTGTTGGTGATACGGTAGCCTTCGTCTCCCACCTGCTGTTATTAGATCATCTTGAGAAACGGTTGTGTCTCCTCGGCTTCCTTGCGAGAATATGCTTTCTCCTCCCAATGCAGTTGTTGGACTCTGGAGGACGGCTGGGGTTCCACGTAGAAGCCACTGTAAATTGGCCTGCTGTGGCAGTTGCCAGGATTCGAGAGACGGAGCGGCTTTTTTCTTGTCCAGTAGGGCCTCCAGGAAAGCCCTTGCCTTTAAAAGTTGTTTGGCGAAGGGGGCCTCTGGAAGGCCCTCTGTCTGCTTTTCTCGTGCGTACAGTGCTTCGAGCGCGGACTTCGGCAGGAGTGCCGCGCTGTAGAGCCACTGCGGGACTGGCTGGGGTGTATCGGAACGGGCGATGTATTTTGTGTTGCTCGCTTCCTTTGCTGTACCAAAGCTTTCTGGAGGAAGGCGCGAAAAGGGATCGCCATCAGTTGTTCTGAGCTGCTGCTGTACCACATCGCGAATGGCCAACAGAGACGGCGCAGAAGTATACGTGAAGTACCACAAATTGTCGGGGCAAATGCCGTCGACATATGTCTGCAAATTCCAAAGCAACCCTGGAAGATACAAACGCACGCAGACAGGAAAATACATTGGCTAACAGGCACAGCGACACCACGACAAATGTTTACTGGTAGACGTAGACACGAAGCCAGGAACGAGGACAACGTCTCGAGTGGTGGGGGACACAAGCTCTGTACTGTGAAGCCGCTCCATGACTACAGCAGCCACACAAAACGGGATGGAGCTACCGTAACTCGACTGTGACTTACGGTCTCAAGTTCCGAATTATATCTGTCCTTCAAGTTAATTATTTCGATCTTGCTCATATTCTCACCGTGAATATATGCTCGTGCCTTTTCGCGCTCGCTGGCCACATGTGCCTCAACGGAGAACGTGGGGTCTCCTGTACTAGCCTCGGTGGGCCCGGATCCCTCATCTTTTTCTTTACCTTCAAGCTTAACATGTTCCTGCCTCGTTCCTGCTGGTGGCCCCCCTGGGGCGGTCTGGGAGCCGTTCTTGCACCAGTTCTGCGCCCTCAACGCGTGATACAACTCGGGGGCCCAAGTCTCCAGAGCCTGAATTGAATGCATCAACAATTTTGCATGTGATTTGTCCCAGTACTGCGTGCATTGGCATTCTTCTGCGGGTGCAACGCATGGACTTGCAGAGAGGGACGTAGCTGTACAGAATATTCTGGAGAAGCGCCAGCGTAGGTGCCAGCCATAGTTCGCAATATCTGTGTGCACACCTACAAAAATTCATTTGGTACAGCAGAGAATAGACACAAAACTCACTCAAAACACATACGAGCTACGACCAAGCGTGCTTCATATAACGCGGGGTGCTCGTACAGTACCCCCCACGCAACGCGCACTTCCGATGAGCGGAAAACAGTCAGGCTTCTGGCTGTTCGGATTAGCTGCTATTTGGAAAACGTAACAGCAGGAAGCTCGACCTGCTTTTAGAGAGAGTGCAGAACGGGTACACTACACGTGCTGGGCTGAGTGCCCATATGCGTGTGGAGCTCCCCATTATTCACCAATCGCTGTACTTATTGGCTTGTCTGAAAAACTATGGGAACAGACAGTTGCAGCAGTGGCTAGATGCCTGCATGGGTCTTACCTGCATACTAACGGCATGCTTGATTCTCGCCTTAGAGATGTTGCTTCCACCGTTAAACTTGCTCGAGAACACAACTTGCTCTTTGACGAGTACGTCCACTTGGAAGGTGTGGGAAGCTTGTATGATGGGGAATTTGTCCTTAAGACCTCCCTCATATGCCATGTTGCCCTCTGCAGTACCTTTTTCGCCCTCGCTGTTCTCATGGTGGCAACTGTTGCTGCCCTCAGCTGGATATACGAAGCAAAATGTGGGAGGGCTATGCAGGGCCACCTGTAAGCACAAAGAAGGTATATATGCCTTCAGATAGAGGTATGCATACACTGAGAGTATTAACTCAACTGCGTATGCCTTCCTGTGCAAATGGGCTTCAAGAGATGTACATATGCGCGGACCAAGCAGAGATTGTTGAGAGTATTCGACGGAGTCGTAACACGAAGCGTAGAGGCCGCTTTCTGGAATGTCGCGGCAGAGATGGGACCAGATTCCGAAAAATCACCCGTATGGGCTGATGTAGTCACTGCAGCTGTCTCACGCCAAGGGCCCTCATCCACGAGAGGTAGCAACTCCGGGAAATATATCTGTAGCAACTTGAAGGCCGCTCTCTGCTGGGCTGTTTTCTTGTCCGTCGCACTGCTGGCCACACACCTGTTAGTGCAAATAGACTCAACAGACCCCTCGGACTGCGGAAGATTCCCCGCATGGACAGAGCCCTCAGGCTGAACCGCTTCTTTGGAATCCGAGGGTCCCGTGACTGTGGATGACCGCATGACGTGCGGCATCACCCCCACAATATCAATGTCGCAGACAAATCCATCCTGGTTCTCTTGGAAACACCACTGAGCAGCCACGGATGGAACAGGCAAAGCAAGACTTTAGTACGTTGTTCAAGCTATTCGAGGAACGCTGGCTTTGTGCGCAAAGGTCGCATACGTACTTTTAAATTCTCACAACTGCAATAATGTCTTCAGTATGTGGCACCTAACTAGCCGCAGGTTTGTTTCTGTGAAAAAATAGGAACATGGACTAACCCTAACACCCAAGGCACGGTGTATCGGAAAGTAATGAGCAGTGGGCCATGAGCGCGCTCACCCGTAGCTTTTTGACTGCGCGGGTTGCACCGTCTGCACTGGACATCACAAGGCGCTTTTGCGCCACCAGCTGATTTACAATTTGCAGTGGAGATGCCTTGCACAAACCGCTGGGCGTCTTCGGCCCAGCAAGACGAACGCAACTATCTCTTTGCCTCGCCACCATTTCTACGTTTTGTAGCCGATCCAGCTCCTCTATAAAAGCGGAAAAAAAGGGCCAATTAAAAGATCTTTGCTCCGCATCAACCCACGACGAGTCACGGTATTCTGGCCTGCGCTCATCTACACAAAAGGAAATGACTGCCTCAGCCGCAGTCTTGCACGCAGTCTCTTGCGAGGGCTCGTCAACGTTATTTGCAATACGTGCATGCATCAGGCGAGAAAACGTCAAGCAGGCACAGGCGTGCAGACCTGCGGCGTGTTGCTTCGTAGGCAGCAGAGAATCGGGCGAAGGAGAATCCTGGTAGCTTTGGAAGATAATCATTGCCGTTCAGAATGCACATGAGGGCGAAATCGTTTCTGACGAGATGTGAATTTCCTGAAACAAGCACAACGGGCGAAGGCAATCAACGAGACTCTCCGGCTACTCTTGCGCCGGATCCCTTGCAGTGCAAGTCTGTGCCTCCTTGAGAAGAGCAATCACTAACGGCAGCAGTCACATTTAACGCTTTTGAAAGCGGCAAAGATGTGAGCGGCGAAACCAAGTAAAAAGCATCTTGTCTTCTGTCTTTCCTACCTGGAAATAGCCGCTCTAGTTCTCCCAACAAGGCACGAAGAGAATAGATAACTAGGCACACAAAGACACACGAGCCGCTTGGGATGAGCTGGACTCAATGCACACCGAAATATGTACGGATTCGCATCTGTGCCTGACTGGACGGATTGCTCAACAACACTTACAGCACAAGTGAGCACAAAAAAGACGTACGCATCTGTTAAAGTACGCAGCGTGAAAGCATATAGCTATATCTGACCTTGCCCACGGAAAGCACGCGCACAAATCCGTATATGCACCCCACATGTGCCATTACGCGCATAATCGAAAAGAATCCAAAACAGAAAGCATTTGGTGTACCCCTAATGTTCTTGGAATGGGTAATATTCTGTGGATTGTAGACGAATAGATTGGAAGTGTAGGGTAGGGCTAGGCACTGAACCACAAGATCCGCATCTCCCCCAATTATGACAATGCTGTCCGATGGCAGCGCCTTGTACGTTGTTTCTGCCTCTGCAGGTTCTTCTTTGTTTTCTGTCCATGAGTCTGCAGAAGACGCCATGTTAATCCAGTTTGCAAGCTTTAACTCGCCTTCCCCGAAAGAAGACGGACCCGAAAGGAAGAACCTGCAGCAGGCTCACGACCGGCAATTCTGCAGAACATGAGATGTTTGCCCGAAGGCAGTTATTCCCACACAAACGTACTGCAACCATAGCTAATTGGAGTTAAGGCATTGCGCAGTTCTCGCCGTCCCAGCATCGGAAGCCTGGGAAACTGCTCAGCTTCCAGTAATATGGTGGACAGCTCGAACGCCCTCAATGTGCACAAGTACGCTTTTGACGGAAACAAGTCTGCGCAAAAAGATCTATGGCTGCTAGTAACTGGAGAGCTTTTCTCGTGTGTCTGTGTGTGTGTGTCGTGTCTGTGTACATATGCTTGCGTGCCTGCGTGCATTTGGCGCGCGTGAGTCCGCTTAGTATGGGCGGCGTAGACTGGCAAACGCGAATGCATGTCTTTGGGTGCTCAGATGTTTACAGGTGGTGTTTCTGCACTCCTACTTGGGTGCGTCGATCTGCCCTGAACGCAGAAGCTCCCTTGCCAGCTTCCTGCATTCCGTCTCCACTAGCCTCATGAAGTACGTGCCAGGCGACAGCAGATAAGCGGCTGTATAGCGTGAACAGTACGCACACACCAACCTCAAGCAAAACGAATATGGATGAAATGTCTGCAAGACCCCAAACGACGCAACTTAGCAGCACCCCTACAACCAGCGGCACTTACGTATTCTACATGCAGATTTGCTAAGTGATGCTCCTATACTTGTTCTAGCCAGTTTTGTTTCAGTTAAACGAACGTCATCTGCGAGAATATCTAACTCCCCACCCAGTCCCTCAGGAAAACCAGCGGTTGTTGGAGAGCCCCTTTGCGATTTCTTCGGCCCAAGACACTGCTCAATGCATTCAGAGAGAATGCCAGCCCTGGCCGCACGCTGCCGTCGTTGCTGGGACATGGCAAGCTTAGCTAAGGGAGGAACGCCATCTATAGCAAGCACGACATTTTTTCTGACCCTAAATCTCTTGAATGTACTCCGCAAGATGCGCCACAGAGCACGAATTATACGGCTGTCTTCAGCATCTGCACTGGTAGCAAACGTAGAGGGGGATGCAAGCGCAGCCTGCAAAAGCCATGTCACACGGGAATAGCGTCAGTCCTAGTAATTCCTCTTTTTTACACGTATTCCACATTGCACATGATAGAAGGGAAGTGTGGACCACATTTTTGGAGAGTATGTGGCAAAATCACCTGGTAAAGGAGCTGATTTAAATCAAAGAGGAGGTGGTCGGTCTCGACGACGTCTCTCTTGTGAATTTCACGTACAGCACTAGGGAACCTAGCCCGGAACCACTTGTGCAATCCTGAAATACCGCATTTTCCGGCATCTGGAATAAGCACGACGTAGAGTAGCGTGACAGTCACAGCCAGCAATAGCGATGTAAATTGCATACTTCAAGTCCTCGTGCCCAGTCTCAACAAACTAGGTTGGTGCCAGTTGTAGTTCTTGAGAAACTTTGAAGAATACGTGTCCGATAACATAATCTGAAAGTTAGGAGACTACGTCACGCAAATGCAGTTAGTGCTTCGAGCCGCACTGTCACCGTTGTGTTGCCGTTAGCTCTGCCGCAGCCGCGGAGGGCTGCAGATGGCAGCGGTTAGTACAACATGGTGCTGAATCAGAGAACACAGTGCAGAACCATAAGCTCTTCAGTAGTTTGGATGCGGTGTCTGACTCCCGTCACTCAGCATTACGGGCCCCTTAGAGACATGCGCAGCATTGGAGAATGCACACGGCGTCTACGCACAACTGAGCACGAATAAACAAGCCCAAATGACCGTAGAAGCTGCTCCTCAAAATAACGGTGCCATTCTACGTCACCACAAAAATAATGGATGATGAGTGCGGGAGGACGACCAAGCGGGTGCACTCGGTCGAATCAAAGCGTTCAGGGTCACTAGAAAAGTCTGCGCAAATTTACACAACTAAATAATATATTTGGGAAATTTGTGCTTACTCCTCTGTCACGGAAGTGGCTCGACACGCCCACAGGAGCGAACAGTAGCTGTGGCATTCGTGCGGACCCCAGCAACACAACCTCTCAAAAATACAGACTTGGCCCCCTTTGAAGGTTGCTCATGTATTTAATATATCCCACAAGAATCACTGCATGGCTTTCCAAACGGAAACAACGTCGGCTTCAAGACAGGTTTTCTAATTAACCAGAAGTATCCTGTTGCAGGAACTGCCTCACACGACCAGCGAGCTTGTGGTGGCACGGGCCTGAGGGGAGCCATGCATAACTCGCTCATGAGCACGCCGCACAGCTATTCGTTTTATTCGAATTCTTGGTAAATCAGCACTTCATTCCCTCTGATCGCGTCCATCTACAGAGGGAAAAGGCAGCAGCGAGGTCTCCTTGTGCCGTTGTGCCCACTGATGCATGTGGTCCTGGTTCTCCGTTGGTATCCAGCCGGACGTTTTTTTCCTCCTTTGATGCATTAGCTCCACAATTTCTTTCAATTCCTATGACAGAAGCTCAATTACTTGTGATGTTGAGGGCTTCAAGGGGAAATCATCGTGCAGAAAAGCAGCGCAGCTATTTCGGATGGCAGCTCCTCTGGACCATTGAATCTGGGCCGTAGCATTTCTGTGTTTTTCTGGGGGCGTCCCGTGGGAATTGATCTTTTATGCCTCATTCTATTGCCTGGTCAGGCTCATCCTTGGTGAAACAAGCACCACGTGTGCGAAACTTGTCAAATACGGACAGCCGGACTCCCATTCGCAGCATTATGTTTGTTCTCACTCTCTAGCGAATCCTTACCCCCCTAGTGCACGAAATAAATGTCTTTCAAGGAGTTCATACGTCAGGCGAACTCGAAGAATCACACCGTCAAGGTATTGTACCAAAAGCTCCAGCCGGCGACTGTTGGAGGCGTGATGCAAACCTGTATCTTCCAAACGCATCCCAGCTAAGAAGCCTTCTGTGAGGCCTGGAGATCTTTTTTTGCGCGGTCCTTCAGTTATTTGGAAGTCACCATGGATCGCACAGTTGAGAGGGCAAAGGTGTCCCTAATCAACTTCCTCCTAGAGGTTACGCCACCTCTCCTTGGGTGCAGCCGGCAGCAACTGCAGAAGCTGCTTTCCATCAACTCAGAGACAGTCCTTAAGCCTTTTCTTGTAGAACAGCAGCCTGGGGTGTTGGTCATCGGCAAAGAAGCCTCGCGTGAAGCTGTTGCGGACAAGGCACCGGGAAGTGGGGTTCAGTTTGCACAGCCAGGGACAGCAGACTTCGACGCAGACGATGAAGAGGAGAACTACAACTTATATGTCGACCTCGGCTTTGTTGCGAGAGCTGGTGGAAGGTCATGCAGCGTCGCATTTCTCAAGCGACCAGGCTTCAGCCTAGCAGACGAGAACACCGCCGAGCATGGAGCCCAGGAAGGAGAGGAGGGTGCGGGTCGGCAGGTCCACACTGTCACAAAACCCATAGGCCCTCAGCTTGCCCTCATGCGTTGTGGGTTTGGGGAGGAAGAGAGCCTCCTTGATGTAACAGAGATGTACATGCAGCGCGGTTTTGGCCCACTGCTGAAAACCGCCTCAGAGGAGGAGACTGCAGCAGCAGCCACCGAAGGAGGAGGAGAGGGAGGTGCAGCGGAAGATTCTACGGCCCGCGCATCTCACGGCATACAAACTGTGAGTAAGAAGCTTAGGGAATTGGTTCTGGCAGTGCAACAAGCACAGCAAAACGTGGATATCCCTCTCATTGAACTGCCCATTGATTCGGTTATAAAGGCGGCCGTCATGAAAGCAGCAGCTGAAAAGCGCAAGCCCGTAGTGGATGACATCGGCGATAAAATTCACGATAGCACATACCTTATTGCTTTACAAAGCCACGTCAATCGTTGGATCAAGGATATCCAGAAGGTCTGCAGAATGCAGCGGTAAGCGCCCATCCATTTTTAGTTCCTCCAAACTCATGAAGCCTTTACCTTTTTCGCCAATTTTAAAGGTTGCGTTCATATGTGCGTTTCATGAGGCGGTGGCATAGGTCAATCCACGTACCGTAGACTGGTGATCTGGCCCACAGTGTGTTTTCTTCACATGTTGCAGAGATCCTAGTACTGGCACTGCTGCAGAGGAGGTGAATTTCTGGCTTGGTTTTGAGCGGGCACTGAAACATGTGGAAGACCAGCTCAAAACTACCGAGGCTGAATTCACACTGACTGTTCTGAAACATACGAGGAAAGTTTTTGCTACAATGTCCTTTGAGCAAGACTCTGGACTAAAACAAGCGACAGAAGTGGTGCAGAACACGAATATTCTTATGCGGGATTTTCCATTGAACGACCTGTGCAGCGCACAAACTGTTGAACAGCTGACTCAGGCGGTACGCACAATCTTCGGCCACATGCGGAAGCTGAAGAATGCGACTCTCTACCCGTTAAGTCGTGCCTACTTCCTTGTAGAGGCGCTTAGTAGGGACCTTTCAACACAGCTCCTAAGCATTACATCAAGGCAAAATCTAATTTCCATGGCATATGAGGAATTTGAACACACAGCAGCTGGCTGCTCAGAGTTGTTCCGCACTTGGGATGAAGAGGTGCGTCACTTTCGAGAAACCGTGAGGGAGTTGTCAAAAAAGAGGGGACTCAACGAGCGGCCACCCTCGAAGCTTGTTTGTGAGCATGTTGTTTTACAAGAACGGATTGTTGAGGTTCGACAGTTCAGACGGCAACACCACCGGCTGAAGGAGGTCCTTAACAGGGTTCTTGGAGACGGTAGTGGTAGAGATGTCGCGGCACAAAAGGACATCACTGCAGCCTATCAAATTATTGAAGCATTGGACGTCTTGGACGTGACCCAAAGTGGGCAGGAGGCGTGGGAGGCCGGCCAAAAAGCATATGACACGCGTATTGACCGCGTGGAGTCACAGATAACAGCAAAGCTGCGAGACCGCCTTGGGGCATCAAAGACATCAGCCGAGATGTTCCGCGTTTTCTCGCAATTCAATGCACTCTTCTTCAGGCCGCGCATCAGAGGTGCTATTCAGGAATATCAGACTAAGTTAATTCAGGTAGTTAAGGAGGATTTGAAGCGACTTCAGGGAAGTTTTCTCGAAGGATATCAGAAGATTGAATCAACAACTATGGCAGAGGTGCGAGATATGCCACGAGTTGCAGGGATGATTGTTTGGGGTAGACAAGTTGAGAGACGGCTAGATGCCCTCGTTCAGAGGATCCAAGATGTATTGGGCAAAGGATGGGAACAGCACGTTGAAGGGCAAAGGCTAAAGCACGATATTGACTTTTTTCGAGCCAAGCTCAACCCACAGGAGCACTTTGACGGCTGGCTCAATCTTGTAAGAGACCAAAAGCGCCTGGACACAAGCGACCGTATTTTTGTGTTGAGGGATTGGGGAGCTGGAAGATTGGAGTTGGCTGTGAATTTCGACAAAGATATGCTCACTCTGTTCAAAGAGGTGAGGCGGCTCAGTCGCTGGCATGACAATCCATGAGACTACTGATAGTTGAGATGCGAGACGTGGCGAACATAAACGTAACAGTGGTCAGCGGCGTGCATTTGCTGCGTCTGACCTACAGGTACGCCTGCTGTCGGCGCTGCAGTTCCGAATCCCGTATTCTGTTAAAGTTATGGCAGATGAGGCGAAGGTCTTGTACCCATTCGCCATCACTCTTCAAGAAGTCTTGCGAACGTACGTTGAGTCGTGTGCACGCGTGGGAGACACAATTTCGAGCCCTGCGCCACCATCGGGGGCGGATGCTGGAGAAGGTGAGGCCGTTGTCGCCTTACTAGTAGCTTCGTACCAACGCGATTCTCAGGGAAAACTCGCCGAGGGCATGAGCCTTCGATGGGACTCAGACCGTCTGGAAACATATGTAAAGCGACTGGCAGAAACTGTTTATATATTTGAGGCGAAGGCGGAATTTGCTCTGCAGCAGCACAACAAGGCCATCAAGGAAATCGACACTTTGAAGGACAAGCCTGTAGATGCTCCATACCAAGATATCCTTGCTGTCAGTAGGACTAGTAGGAAACAACGATACCAGCGCAGGTTGCTTGCAGATGGAAGCAGAAAGCGAGGTTAAGCTGAGGCGTGAGGATTCAAGCTTGCTCGCTGCCATCTAGCATGCCTGCTGAGTGTGTGTGGAGACGAGTGTATTCTTGGCGAGATAGTCAGAAAGTTATAGAAAGGTATAGAAGTTGTCCAAACGTATGTATACTGCGCATTATAGATACGAAGATTCGATGATACAGTTCTGTAGTCAAGCCGTTCTTGTCCGTGTGCATTGTAGGTGCTGCAAAACGTTCAAAAGTTGATCGAAGAGCAACACCTGCAGAACTACTCCAATATCAGGGGATGGACAAAGGTGCTCGAGAACCGTGTTGAAGCAATTCTAACACAACGGCTTATCAAACTAGTGGAGGAGTGGACCGTACAATTCGAGAACTGGCCAAATAAGGGCACCGCCCTTATTCAGAATGGCATTGTGTTGGAGATTCAAGTAAGCACATTCGCTTCGCATCACTGTCACTCGCACTAGGCCCCTGTGCTACGCGAAATAAAACAAAGTTTTGCACCTGGCTGGGCAAAAAGTGATTTGCGTACTCGAAATGGGCGTAATGTCTGTAGTTGAATGAAGTACACGGGCGGCGTGCTGGTTTTTAGGTGCATCTTTTCCACTGTTGCAGGTTAGGAATCAAGTACTTCAAGTTCATCCAGCAGTGGAAGCAGCGCGGCAGCTCTGGATGGGATCTCTGCACCGCATTATGGCATCTGTTTGCTTGTTGCCGCGATTTAATTCAAGAAACAGCGCTAGGCCTCTGAAGTTTGGGGGAGAACCGACAGCTTGGGATTATGAAGATTCTGAAGATGAGGCCCTTGAGAACGGCGATCCCATGAAGCCCAAATCAGGTGGTACCTACAGGGCGATCGCTTCTCGGATTCCCCCGGAAGTCATCGACAAAGCTCATTCCGCCATTGACAGTGAGACTTGATACTGTGTCGGCGACCAGGATGCCTTCCGCGAATCGGGTTACGATTCAAGTGGCATCCTTGTCCCTTAGTTATGCTACAGGTCGTGATAGTAGAGCATTTCGGCCTTACTTGACTAGTCCCATACCCGCAGTGATTGTTCACAGTGACTCTAAAATACATTGGGGGGCGTTTTGTGTTGAGGGTGTTTCAGGGGTTATGGGTAACGTAGAAGAGTACGTAGCAAACTGGATGCACTATCAAGTTTTGTGGGACGTTGATGTGAGTGAGGTGCTCGGCAAACTTGGAGACGATATTGAGACATGGCAGCAGCTACTGAACGAAATCAAGCAGGCTAGGAGCCCTTTCGATAATACCGAAGCTCGAACAATGTTTGGGCCCACAATTGTAGATCACCATCAGGTACAAGCGAAGCTTAACACCAGGTATGACGCTTGGCATCGCGATATTTTGCACGCTTTTGGGCAAAAGGTATCTGCAAATGCGAGCTCTGTTTTCACTTCTCTGCACGCTATGGTAGCCGATCTGGAAGAACAAGGCCAAGTAGCAGATCCCACTGAAACTGCCATGAACGCGGCAACGTTTCTGTCGATGTCCGAGGCACAAATGTCTGCTCTCATCAGCAGTCAAGGGCTGATCGGAGATGAGCTGGTTTCAAACATAGTGTCAAATCTCACGAAATTTCTCCTGAAGTTGCAGGAAGCCAGCAAGTTAGAGCCAAAGTGGAGCACTACGATTGACAAACTGAGAGCCAGTGAGCGCCTTTTGGAAAGACAGCGGTACACGTTCCCGAGTGACTGGCTGTGGATCGACCAGATCGAAGGCGAAATGGAGATGTTTTCCCAGTTGTTGAGGCACCAGGGGATGATGGTAGAACAAGCGAAAGAACAACTTGTCACTCTTGTGACGCAGTTCGCAGCGACACTTCAGGAAAAACTTCAGCAGCTGTACTCCGATTGGATGTTGCAGCGTCCTGTGAGGGATGATATTGCGCCTGGCCACGCAATGAGCATCCTGAGACAATACGAGCAGCAACTTGAAAAGATAACATCCGACTACGAATGTGGGGAGAAGGCAAAGGCAGCCTTGGGTGTGGAAGACACTGCGTTGAGCTCTGGGGGCGAGACATTTTCACCGTCTGCTCTGGCAGAGGAAATCGCAGACATGAAGGGAGTTTGGGAAGCCCTCGGTGGGCTGCACAAGGAGCTAACTGGGCTTCGTGAGACTGTGTGGGCAGCTGTAGTTCCGAAACAAATTCGAACTTCATTAGAATCGCTGCTGGAGAGAATAAAGCAAATACCAGCCCGGTTCCGTCAGTATGAAGCGTTTGAGGAGTTGAAACAGAAGATTAATAAGTTTCTTTCGCTAAATATGCTAATCACCGACATGAAAACGGATTCCCTGAAGGAGAGGCATTGGAAGACCATCCTTTCCAAGCTAAAAATCCGGAAGTCCGTAACAGATATGACAATCGGAAATCTTTGGGGTGAGTCCGGCATATGCGTAAGTGTGCATGAGTAGATCAGCAGTTGGCATTTTCCCCTAGGCTGCCAGTCTCTTGTGTACGTTTAGCGGGTAGTAGTGCGGCTCAACATTTAGCAGTGGTAATGCAACGAGAAATGCAGTTGGAGTTTTGGACTCCTGCATGCGGTGCAGATGCTGACTTGACTGCAAACGAAGCTGAAATCCGCGAGGTCTTGATACAGGCACAGGGTGAGTCTGCCTTGGAGGAATTCCTACGCCAAGTTAAGGATGCCTGGAGAGAAAGGGAATTTGTCATGGTGCCCTGCGGGAACAAGTGCAAAGTAATCAAAGGTTGGGAGGACCTCTTTCAAATTATCGATGACCAGCTGGCGTCACTTCAGTCCATGAAGATGTCCCCTTTCTTCAAGGTAAAACACGTGCCGCTGAGCAGCTATAGGTCTCGCCTATTTGGCTTTCAGTGGGAGTATTTGCGCTTCACTGGAAATCCTTGCAAATATAAGGTGCCGTCAATGCATATTTGAGCGCAGCTGTAGATGAATTGACTCTACGTGTATTTCTACATGATAAATGAAGTTGGCATCACTCATTAGACAGAATGCTCACCCTTCTCGCAAGCGTTTCGAAGCATTATGTTGAGTATATATGAGAATTTGTGAGTACGCACATTTCGCGGCACTCACGCAGGAGCGAGGCGTGGGCGTGCTCAGTTCACGTCAATTCATCTGCAAACTGCATGCGTGTACCGTATAACTTCTCAGATATTCGAGGAGGAAGCTCTGGCTTGGGACGAAAAGCTAAACAGGCTGCGCATCCTTTTGGATAGCTGGGTGGAAGTGCAGCGCAAATGGCTCTATCTTGAAGGGGTATTCTCCGGTTCCCAAGATATTCAAATGCTCCTTCCTGCTGAGCATCAGCGATTTAGGGGAATCGACGCAGAGTTTAAGGGCATCATGAAGAAAGCAGACACCACAAAAATAGTGTTGGAGGTAATTCGCTGACGGTTATTAACTTGGGGCTGCTTTCGAAAACGTTTAGTTTAGCTGCCCTTTTTTTAAGCCAGAGTCTCCGTGCGGCACGTATTGCGAAGCATAGTAAACGCTCGAGGTTATACTAAATTTTCATTCACTCTGTGTCATTGAGCTTTTACTGGGACGATGGATGCAGATAGCGTCCACTGAGGGTCTCGGTCGTCAGTTAGAACGATTGTCAGACTTGCTTTCTCGAATTCAAAAGGCGCTTGGAGAGTATCTTGAGAAGCAAAGGGAGCAATTTTCCCGGTTCTACTTTGTTGGAGACGAAGATCTCTTGGAGATGATTGGCAACGCAAAGGACGTGAAGCTTGTGCAGCGCCACATCAGCAAGCTTTTCGCGGGAATCGCTGCGCTTGAGACTGATCCAGAGGACCCTACAACAATAACAGCAATGACGTGAGCAGGGGAAGGGATATGTTGCAACAAATGTATAGCGAAGATGCCTTCTGCTCAGCCAGGCGACGAACTCCAAGTGCATTTATTCGGGAAGGTTGCTCCGCACTCGTTTCAGGTCCTGTGAACTTGGTTATGAACGTAGTGGATGCGTGAATTTTCTCTGCATGTCGGTTCTGGCGTGTGTTTCGGTTCTTACCAGATCGCGTGAGGGAGAAGTTGTTCCTTTTGTCAGCGGCGTCTCAATTCTACAGTATGCGTCTCTCAAGGACTGGATGAGCGCAGTGGAATTGCAGATGACAGTTTCGTTGGCTGATAACGTATCGAGGGCTTTAAAGCAATTGGAACAATTTGACGTGACTGAAATAACGAAAATGGCGACAGGAGGTGACCCTCTGGAGAATCCCTTCATCAAGTGGATCAAAGATTTTCCACTTCAGGCGTTGCTTCTAGCAATGAATATTCAATGGACGAAGAAATGCGAGGCTGCATTATCGGCAGATGACTCACAACAGCCAATGAAAGCAGCAGAACAGACAGAGCATCCCTTGGAATCTTCAGCCTTAAAAGACTGCGTGGCACTTCTTGGGTTTCTCGCCGATCGCGTTGTTCAGGATATAGGCCCTCTTGTGAGGAGTCGAATCGTTCATATGATCACTGAAGTGGTCCATCAAAGAGACGTCTGCAGGTATGCTTTGCTCAAAGATCATCACTTTGCACCAATAAGTTTCTGTGCAGGGATAGCAGCACCATCAAGTGTAAAGACAGCTTCCCAAAGGGCTTTGAATGGTAGTCTATCTTTTTACATCATTTGCCGCCGTGCAGTTGGCTAAGCAAAGTCGTTGTGGTGATAGCTGCATGAATTTCCAGGTCCCTGGTGAGGAACAATATTACCTCCAGGAAAGACTTCGGATGGCTCGAGTGCATGCGTTTCTACTTTACTCATCCCCCATCTTCGGGCCCCATAATTCCGCAGGGTCTGCTCAAAGTGTGCATGGCCGATGCGGCCTTTGACTACGGATTTGAATATTTGGGTATTTCATTTTTTCACATCCTCTGGCTCTTTCTCTGCCGCAGAAGCGTTGTATGGCCACAGAGATACACACTAGAGACAAAAATAAAACGAGCAAAAACACACCACTGACTCTCATGGTCGAGCTACTTAAACTACGTAGTCATTAGCATGCTTTGGAGTTCATTGCATTAGTTTCGTTGCGTTTTGGGGTGGTATATGGTTGCAGGAATGGCAGAACGACTTGTGCAGACACCACTGACTGACAAGTGTTTTCTTACTCTCACTCAAGCTCTTAAGATGAAACTGGGCGGAAACCCATTTGGTCCAGCAGGTGAGAACTGCGGGATCATCAAATTGAAGATGTTGGCTATGACTCCTGATAAATTAACCGATCCAGCTAGGCAGAGGCAGTGCTGCCACGTCTCAAGTTTAGGACCAGTTGTTCTGGAGCATAGGTCCTGTCATTGATAGTGCATATTTCTGCGTCCCCTCGTCACGTGATTTCAGGAACCGGGAAGACAGAATCAGTGAAGGCCTTAGGCTCTGCCTTGGGGAGGTATACTCTGGTATTCAACTGCGATGAAACTTTTGATTTTAATGCAATGGGTCGGCTCTTCTCGGGTTTGTGCCAAGTGGGCGCATGGGGTTGCTTTGACGAGTTCAATCGTCTTGATGAAAGGATTTTGTCGGCTGTATCAGAACAAATTTTGACCATCCAGGTGAACAAATTCGCGGGCCATAGTCTCCATCATTGTCTTTAGGCTAGGTTGATGCAGCCTTACCGCTGACAACAGCCTTGGATGCGAATTTTGCAGTTCCTAAGTAGAACAAACGTAGTTCACATGCCATTCCGACTTCGTCTCAGAACAAGTAGCGTGTAAACATCGCGTCATTCAAAGTCCATGTGTTACCTCCGCAGGTTGGGCTGCGTGAGGGCAAGAAGGAGATAGAATTGTTGGGAAGAGCTACGAAATTGAACACCAACGTTGGTATATTCGTCACGATGAATCCTGGCTATGCTGGGCGTTCCAACTTGCCAGATAACTTGAAACAACTCTTCCGTGAGGTCGCGATGATCAAACCTGATAAGCAGCTGATCGCGCAGGTGACACTCTACGCACAAGGTTTCCGTTCTGCTGAGCGGCTGTCAAGCAAAATCATATCACTATACGACTTGTGCGATAGGCAGCTGTCTAAACAGCCTCACTACGACTTCGGGCTACGGTCACTCAAGAGTGCACTTAGCTCTGCTGGAAATCTTAAACGGCAGCTACTTCAGGAAGAGGCAGGAGCAGGTACAGTTGTGGATGATCTAGCGATGGTGGAGACAGTGGAGCAGAAGCTTCTCATTAGGTCGGTCACTGACACAGTCGTTCCAAAGCTTGTAGCTCAGGATGTCCCTCTGCTTCGAAGCTTACTAATGGGGGTCTTTCCAGGCGCAGATATTCCCGCCCTGGATGAGAAGATCTTGCTGGAGGAAATTGAAAGACTATGCGAGGCACGTTTCCTGGAGGCAAAAGGGGAATGGCTTGAAAAAGTACTGCAACTATATCAGATTCAGAGGCTGCAACACGGCGTAATGCTCGTGGGTCCAGTAGGTACCGGGAAATCTGCTGCATGGCGTATCCTGCTCGACGCAATGGAAAAGGTGGACGGCATTAAGGGAATGTCTTACGTTTTAGATCCAAAAGTGGTGGCAAAGGAACAATTGTATGGCCGACTCGATTCCACAACCTTAGAGTGGCAAGATGGCGTTTTTACTGCTGTATTACGTAAGATTTTAACAACGACACAAGAGTCAGGGAACAGCGCACAGCAGCGGAGGCACTGGATTGTGTTTGATGGAGATGTTGATCCGGATTGGGCAGAAAACCTCAACTCTGCACTTGATGACAACAAGCTACTCACTCTTCCAAATGGTGAGAGGTTGGAAATCCCAAATTGCATTCGACTTCTTTTCGAAGTGGAAACCCTCAAGTATGCCACGCTTGCCACAGTCAGTCGATGCGGAATTGTGTGGTTTGCAAGCTCGGTCTTGCCCGACGAAGTGGTGTTTCAGCATCATCTAGAAGAGATAGCTGCTGGCACTGCGTCGACAGAAGTTATTCTTCAGGGAGTTGGAGGACAGGCAAAGGGAATCGACCGCAGTGGCTCTCGTGTCATTACTCGTGAAATTGCTCGCTCCGGCTCAGGAATTGTGTCGAAGGCAAGCGTCGGCAAATTGGTCTCCAAGGGGACCATGACGGGCGGCCTTGCCACAGGTGGCAGAGGTGCAGCTGAAGCTGTTGCGCAGGGCATAAAGGAGCGTTGTGTGGCTATTCTTCAGCCCTTCTTTTGTGCTGGGGGCTTTGCAAGCCAGTGCCTTGAGCAAGCAATGAAACATCAGCATATAATGGAGTTTACAAAAATAAGGTGCATTGAGAGCATGTTTTCTCTTATCAAGAAGGGCATCAGTCGCGTTGTTGAGAAGAATGAAGAACTGAGACCGACGGGGGAGTCTATGGACGATGACCTCATAGCCCAATTCATTACAAAGGCAAGTAGTTCTTAGTCCCTGGGGTATTTTAGCGAACCTATGCTGGCCTTCATGTTTGGCCTTCGTTTATGGCACAAATCTGAGGCCGAAACTTGCCGCGAGTGCAAGCAGTTGTGGTAGTGTTAGACGCTGTGCGCTGCAGTGGATGATCTTGTCCATTCTTTGGGGCATGGGCGGATCCCTAAGCCTAGCAGCGAGGTCTGCTTTCAGTGAAGAAGTGGCGCGCTTTTGTGACTTACCGCTGCCTTCACAATTAGCATCTAGTGATGCGGATGGACAGACGTTGTTGGATTTTGAGCCATCTATTGACGATGGCCAGTGGCACCACTGGAAATCTCGAGTGAAGCAGGTGGAAATTGACACTCAGCAGGTGAGACTGTAGAGCCTGGAGCAGTTTTGGCGATTCGGCACCACCATTCTGTATACGCTTTTGGTGTGGCTGCAGAGTTTTGATTTTTTGTATATTTGCACGTTCCCACAGGTGAAGGACGCGACGCTTGTCATTCAGACTGTAGACACATTACGACACCGTGACGTAGTTGAAGGATGGCTTGAAGAGAAGCGGCCTTTTATTCTTTGCGGTCCCCCGGGCTCTGGGAAGACAATGACTCTCACGGCAGTTTTAAAAGAGCGTCCCGATTTTGACATAGCGTTTCTCAACTTCTCATCAGGCTCCACTCCTGATTTGCTGTTCAAAACTTTCGACCACTATTGCGAACTAACTAAAACTGCGGCAGGAGGGATGGTAATGCGGCCACTCGTTCCTGGCCGCACCCTTATAATTTTCTGCGATGAATGTAACTTGCCGTCTCCCGATAAATACGGAACACAGCATGTTATAATGCTAATGCGTCAGATTGCGGAGTCCGGGGGCTTCTGGCGCTCAATGCCACAGTTGCAGCAAGCATCACCTTGGGTCTGGATTCGCGTAGAAGGCGTTCAGTTTGCAGGAGCATGCAATCCACCGACGGACGCTGGCCGTCACCACATGAGCAACCGGTTCCTTCGCCATGCCCCTATAATCTTCGTCGATTTTCCAGGGAAAGAATCACTCATACAGGTGATCCGGCGTTATCTAGTAGATTTTCGCACGTCCACGGCTCCTGCCAGCTAGCTAGGTTCATGTGGCTTGTAAGAGAGTGTCCTTTTTAATTCAGATATACAGAACGTTCAATCGGGCACTTCTGCGGCCGTTTCCTGACCTGTATCCCTCGGCCGATCCGCTAACAATGGCTATGGTGGATTTCTACATTTCGTTTTCCAGCACATTCACAGTTGACCAGCAGCCCCATTATATCTACTCTCCAAGGGAGCTGACCAGGTGGAAACTGGCCTTAGCAGAGGCAATAACCGGGGGCGGGAAATTTGATGCAGAAGCTATGACTAAGAAGTCATCTAGCGACACAGGCTGGGATAGAGGTGCACAGTTTGCCGGCGCAGCTGACAATGATTGCATAACTCTGACTCAGCTCGTTAGAACTTATGCGCATGAGGGACTGAGGATATTTAGTGACAGACTTGTGACGGAGGCAGAAAGGGAGAAGACGGATGCGATGCTTGACGAAATCGTGCGGACGTAAGTTCACTCAAAGGCGTATCTTTTGATATGACTGGATTTTTTGCTGAAGTTGCTGGGATGCGCGATATAACAACTGTTAGCTATTCTCGAAGCCTTAGAGTGCACGCAAGCGTAGGTGTGCGCAACTGGGTGCAGAAGTGCCTGAAGAGCTAGGTGTACTACGCCATTTTTGGCTCCCCCGTTTTTCAGGTCATTTAATGTGTTTAGAATGCTTTCTGCTGGGGCTGCGGTGCTTCAGGCATTTCCCCAGCGTCAGCGATGAAGCGCTGCAGCGCCCCATACTCTTCACCAGTCTGGCAAGTCGCCAATACTGTGAGGTTTCTATGCCAGCTTTGCGTTCGTTGCTTCAAGGGAAACTGCGCGTGTTCAATGAAGAAGTTTTTCAGGTGCAGTTGGTATTTTTCGACGAAGTTCTGCACCATGTTGCACGCATTGACAGAGTATTGAGGCAGCCTTTGGGTCACCTGTTGCTAGTGGGCGCGTCTGGAGCAGGGAAGACGATTCTAACAAAGTTTGTCGCGTGGATGAATGGTTTGAGCATCTTCCAAATAAAGGCCGGCAGGAATTACAACACAGCATCATTCGAACAGGACCTTCGAGTTGTAATGAAACGAGCCGCTCTGAAAGATGAGAAAATCGCATTTGTTATTGATGAATCCAACGCTCTAGGTCCAGCGTTTTTGGAGAGAATGAATGCTCTTCTGGCATCAGGTGGGAAGCCGAAGTTTTATGCGGTCTCATAAGGCGCTGCTGGCGCTGTCATGTGCGGCCACCATAGATGTTATTTACTGCATTGAAAACGCTAGAGCATCCCGTATTGAGTCCCCAGTGAGTTTTTTGCTTTCGTGTTGCAGGCGAAGTACCAGGGCTCTTTGAAGGCGACGAATACACGGCTCTAATCAATGAATGCAAGGCAGCGTATGGGAGCGACTATCTAGGTAGTGGGGAGTCTTCAGAGCTGTTTACCCGTTTTACGAAACAGGTGCAGAGGAATTTGCACATCATTTTTACAATGAACCCGGCGAACCCCGACTTCCACAATCGTCAAGCAACCTCTCCCGCTCTGTTTAACAGATGCGTAATCGACTGGTTTGGAGACTGGGCTCAGCCTGCAATGGAGCAAGTGGCGTTCGAGTTCACTGACTCAATCGAGCTCTTGCCTGACAGTTTTACACCAGAAGCTATTATTGGTGCGAAGCCAATTAGCAACATTTTGAAGGAGGCTGTTGATAAGGCGGAAGAAGAAATGGCGCTCGATGGGGATGATCTTGCGCGACGCAGCAGGCTGGCTACTGCAATTGTGTCGTTCCACCATGCTGTAGCTAAAAGTAATGCTATTCTTTCCAAAAGCGGCCGCAAGTCAAACTATATGACACCTCGTGACTTCCTTGATTTCTTGCACCATTTCCGCGGACTTGTTGCAGAGAAGAGCGACGCAAGTGGAGAGCAACAGCACCATCTACAAGCTGGTTTGCAAACCCTAGCACAGGTAGAGCGCCAGGTTGGGGAGATGAGAGCGGAACTGACAGAAAAAGGTGCAGTTCTCGCAGAGAAGAACGAAGAAGCTGAAAAGAAAATGCAACAGATGATAAACCAGCAGGCAGAAGCTGAAAACAAAAAGAAGGGAGCGGAAGTCCTAGCGCGCAAGCTCGATGAACAGACTGGTATCATCAAGGAACGTAGAGAGGCAGTAGAGGCTCAGCTTAGCGAGGTGGAGCCACTACTCAAGGAAGCTGCAGAGGCCGTTACAAACATCCCGAAGAAAAGCCTTGATGAACTAAAAAGCATGGCCAACCCTCCAGCAATGGCAAAGGTTGCGGTGGAAGCTGTCGCAGTGCTAATCACAGATGCTGGAGAAAAGCCTGTTTCTTGGGAAGATGCAAGAAAGATTTTGAAAGCCACAGACTTCATTTCTAAGGTACAGTCAAAATTCAGTGTGCGATTGTTTCGTGGTCGCGTTGCTCCGTGTACGATGCTTGTTACGCCTCATCAGATCGAATTTTCGGCTTATCTTCATGCTTTCGCCCTCAGATTCTTAACTTTGACTGCACATCCGTTAGCTCGGCTACTCGGCGAAGAATCCAAACAAAGTTTCTGACTGGCGACTGGGATATCGAGAGGATCAACAAGGCCTCTCGCGCAGCAGGACCGCTGGCTCAGTGGGTTGAAAGCAGCGTGAAATTTGTATTGATTAGTGAGCAAGTAGAGCCACTGCAGACTGAAATCGCTCAGTTGGAAACTGAGGCACAGGAGAATGAAGCGAATTTACAAGAGCAGCAGTCCCTTATTACTCAGCTGGAAGGCAAATTGCAGCAGTACAAGCAAGACTATGCTCAGCTGATTAGTCAGGTACAAAGCATAAAGCGAGAGATGGATGAGGTCCAGAAGAAATGCGCGCGCTCAATGTCATTATTGGAGAACTTGGGGTCGGAGAAGAGTCGGTGGTTTGAACAGTTAGAGCAATTGAAATTGGCTACTCAGACATTTATCGGAGACAGTTTGCTTGCAGCTGCTTTCTGCGCTTATCTTGGCTTCTTTGAATACGCGGATCGGAATCGGTTACTTGAAGAGTGGAGGGCAGTGCTCCAAAGGGAGTGCATTCGTTGCCGCGCCGACCTTTCTTTCGTCGACTTCCTTTCAACACCTTCGGAAAGGCTTCAGTGGGCTGCTCATTCTCTCCCGCCAGATGACCTTTCAGTTCAAAACGCAATTATCCTGAAACGATTCTTGCGCTATCCTCTTATCATTGATCCTGCTGGTCAAGCAATCAACTTCTTGACTTCTTTCTTGTCCTCCAACAAGCTGTCCAAGACGTCTTTTTTGGACGGAAACTTTCTCAAGGTTCTGGAAAGCAGTTTGCGGTTTGGTTCTACCTTGGTGATTCAGGATGTTGAGAAGGTAGACCCGATACTGAACCCTGTTCTCAACAGAGAAACACACAAGCTCGGCGGCCGTGTCCTGATCACTGTTGGTGACTCCGAAATCGACTTGTCTCCTGCCTTCTCTATGTATCTTGCGACGCGAGACCCTACAGCACAGTTCACACCCGACCTCTGCAGCCGTGTCACAATGATTAATTTTACTTTAACGCCGTCCTCTCTCGTAAACCAGTGTCTAAACCTTATTCTGAAGAGCGAAAGATCAGATATTGACAAAAAACGGTCAGATATGCTCAAGCTTCAGGGAGAATTCAAAGTAAAAATACGCGAGCTAGAGGATTCGCTGCTTCTTGCTCTCTCAAATGTGAAGGGAAACATTTTGGATGATGATTCCGTGATGTCATCCATGGAAATGCTGAAGAGGCAAGCGGCAGAAGTCGCCACTGAGGCCGCGCACACTGAGGAAATAATGGCCGAGGTTGTGCAGACTAGCAATATGTATTTGCCGTGGGCTCTCGCGGCAGGACGTATATATTTCACGCTTCTCAACCTCTCATGCGTTTCACCCGTTTATCAGTACGACCTTCGCTTCTTCCTAGGTACGGTTATAATGTCATTGGCTTTTGTCCGCCTAGAATGAGGGTTTCGCTGCAGCGTATGTATCATCTATCTCTTCTTAAACTGTGTCTGGTCGCAGGCATATTGCATGAAACCCTAACAGGAGCTGCAGGCCTGAACGATTTGAAGAAGACAGATTACGTGGAGAGGCTGGCTGTCCTTTTGTCGGGTCTTTTCTCAACAACATTCCAGCGCGTAGCCTATGGCTTGGGGTATTATGATAGACTAGTGTTTGCGTTGCAGCTATGTTACATTCGGACTGAGCTGGATCTTGGCCTGCCCCTGGAATTGCCAGAGCTTCAGCTCCTTTTACAGGGGTTCGTAGAGGATCAGGGGTCTCAGACGGCTTCATGGACAAATACTCTTCATGGGGAATTGACAGCTGAGCAAATGAAGGCGCTACAGAAACTGCTGGCGCTTCCGTGCTTCTCTGGCCTTCAAGAGCACATGACAACGCACGAGTCTGAATGGATTGCGTTATTGCGGTTTTCTGCCCCTGAAACAAGCATTCCTCGTGGCATTTTCACTGCTGAGCCACACCCGTTGGCAGACAAGAAGATTGGCAGTCAGCGCTCTATGACTCTCGGAGAGTGGATCAATCTACTCCGGGAGCTACTTGTATTGAGGGCCTTGAGGCCAGACCGTGTGACGTGTGTTCTAATTGAGCTATGCGAAGGTGTTCTAGGGGAGAATTTCCTTTCCGTTCCCGAACTGACGCAAGACCTGCTTAAAGAGGTTGTTGAGAAGCAGGCAAGCAGTACTTCTCCAGTTTTATTCGTCTTATCTCCCGGCTCTGATCCAAGTAGCCTTATTACTCACCTGGCCTCCACTGTCCAGCAGCCCATCAGCTCCGTGGCAATGGGCAGCAAGGAAGGGTTTGAGCTTGCAGATAAAGCCATTGCCAAGGCAACTCGACAGGGCACTTGGGTTTTATGCAAGAATGTCCATCTTTCTCTCAAATGGCTCCAGGATTTGGAGACAAACTTGCATCGTGGCCAGGCACACGCGAACTTCCGCCTGTTCCTCACCATGGAGTACAATCCGAAGGTCCCCGCCACGCTGGTTAGAGCGTCTTGCACCTTTGTGTTCGAGCCGCCACTTGGCATCAAGGCATCTTTGTACAGGTCGTACGCGATGCTCTTCGGTGCCAGTGGTGCCCGTGGAGTATCTAGTCGAAACAGTGCTCGACCGCAACCTGTCCAGCCTCCCGCCGCAGCCCGTTGCCGCTTGCAGTTTCTTCTAGCGTTCCTGCATGCTATTATACTGGAAAGGCGAAGATATGCACCTGTCGGCTGGTGCAAGCTTTATGAGTTCTCTGAGGCTGATCAGAAATGTGCATTGAGCATAGTAGACTCTTGGCTTGCAACCGCTGCACAGCGTGGTGACACTCTCTCCGACCATGTAGCTCCAGAGCGACTTCCTTGGACTGCAATACGAACACTCATTGCACAAGTGTGCTATGGGGGACGACTGGACAATGCTGTTGATGAGAGGTAAGTGCGTGCTCCTGCTTAATGCTTCACGCAACATCTTTGGCGCTCAGCGACTTCACAGTGGACTGATGCTCAGTGTCATTTGAAAGTTTAGCTCTATCTTCCGTTTATGATGCTGGAGCAAACTGCGTTGTCACTTGTATCAGGGTCCTGCGGTCGTTTGTGGACTACTTGTTCCGTCCAGAGGCGTTTGAGTCTGATTTCTGCCTCAATATGCCGAACCTGGGGAAGGATGTGGAGGATTCGGAAGCAGAATTGTTGCGAGCCCCAGCTGAGCTCTTCAAGACACACGAACAGTACCTTGAATGGGTTGACTCACTACCGCCGCGGGACATGCCAGCATGGATCGGCTTCAATTCGCGCGCTGAGTGGCTGTTGGCTTCCAGGCAGGCGCATGCCTGCATTGCCAACTGGTCCACTTTGCTGCTACGTGGCAAGGAAGAGTCACTAGACTTCCACTCTATCTCAGAGAGCATTATGAAGGGTCTCAAACGGCAAAAGAGTGTTGCAGCAATAAGCGATGAAAAAGAACCTGATGAGGCTCCGAAAGCGACCTCGTGGCTCACTTTGCTCATCCCCGTCGTACAAGCTTGCCTAGCTACTTTGCCAGAAAAACTTCCCGTCTTACAACGGACTGATACGATGGTGCAAAATCCAATGTTCCGTTGCTTTGAGCGTGAACTAGCAGTTGGTGCAAGGTAGGCCCTTGCTTTCTCAGTAGTGTTTGTTCAGCACCTTGTATGCAGGTTAGATATGGCGGCGCTCCTTTTACGAATAAGTACACAAGAAGATATGCGACACTGCTATAGTCGTGGGTTTCCTTTCCTTCAGGCTGTGTATGCTGATTCGCGAGTCTTTGGGAGAGCTGCTGCTCGTCTGCAAAGGTGAATTGAAAATAACCAACTCTCTGCGTGAGTTGGCAACGCTGATATCTTCATCGAAAGTTCCAGGGGAGTGGAGTCAGGTTTATGTCTCTTCTCAAGAACTGACTGTGAAGGAGTGGCTCGAGGATTTTAGCCGTCGTTTAGCACAACTAGCGATGGTGTCTCGGGAATTCGGTGCAGAAGGAAACGACCAGCAGATCGAGGCAGCTATGAACTTACTTTCACGACAGCGTGACGATGGAGAGCTGTCTCAATGGAGAGTTTGGCTTGGAGGCCTGTTTTTCCCGTCAGCCTACCTCACAGCGACCCGTCAAGCGGTCGCCCAAGCTAAGGGATGGTCACTTGACGATTTGGCCGTGGAGGTTCTCGTCGGTTCTGTCGAGGCTAAAGATGACCAGTCCTTTATTATCACTGGGTTAACCGTAGAAGGTGCAGCGTGGAACGCAAACGAAAAGGTTCGCTGGCCATATGGAATTACAATAGGCTCGACGATTCAGTTTTCAGTGCCTTCACACGACTTCTAACATGCCTCGGAATTGTTGATGTTGCTGTGAAATGCGCCTCAGTGTTTGGACGTCGCTGACACGATTGCGTCAAGCTTGCCGCCAATGGTCATGCGTTGGTACCACAAAGGAGAAGGGTGCAAGTTCAAAGAAGACGGGCAAACGTACATTTCGACCCCGCTGTTTTTGAATAGGGCCCGCAAGTAAGCGTATATCACTCAGCTAAACAGAAAGCATGGCTGTACTGATGTGGAGAGATATGTACACCGCTGGAAGCTGTTTGCTGATCTACTTGTGATTGGTTTTCGCTCAGGGACCTTGTAGCTTTTGTAGACCTTCCCGCTAGCGAACAATACCCACCCGCCCTGTGGGTGCAGCGTGGTATGGCCGTTCTCTTGTGGGGTGATCTTTAAAGGCAGGACTTGCTGCACACAGAGCACTGCGTCCTGTCACGTTGAACCATTCAGCCAAGCGGGCTTCGCATGAGGCTCGCTGCCGTTTGTGGACGGTTTCCGTTCTTTTTACTTCGCAGCAAAGTAATTGCGACAAAAAGCTGGTCGTTGTGGGCCTGTGCTATCCTGAAATGGAAACTGAAAACAAAGCCGCTGTTCATGAATCAATTCGCTTTCGATTTAAACGCAGCGAATGAGGCTTCTCTGACGTCACATGCAGCCCACCACAAGTTGCCCAGTGCAGTTACGCATGCAAACCCGCTAGCAACGCAGCCGAAGCGGCGAATGCTTAGGCACTGCCGAAATCCAGTGTTTTTGCACAGCGCGCTAATTGCCGAAGCCCAGGGCGAATTAGGACGACTAGAGTGTCGTAGCACGCCTCATTCGGTAGGGGTACCCATCGCATTCCATAATCGTAGGACTTGCTCATATATGAGCGCACTTTGTAACAGTGAGCTTGAGACTTTCTTTCGGATCACAGGCAGCACTGGAAGAGAAGTGTCCGGAGGAGCCACTGTGCGTGTTTCCCCCTTATCCAGTGACTTTGTCTGAAGGTCGCTGGAGAACTGCAACGCTGCGCAGGTTTGTAATCCTCTCTTCAACTTCTCACCGTGGAAAAGAAACATATGCGCATGCACAAAGCGATGTGCACTGCAAAACTCCTGAGAGCCTGCACTGTGTGAGTGCTGTCCCGTCCATACAGTTATTTGAGCCAACAACAACGAAGGCATTACGTTCACAACAAGCGTTCCCAAACAGCGTTAAGACGAGCCCCGCATGCGCTATATTACAGGAGTACGGGTCGGCTCTTTTGACTGTAATCCTGATTGAACGGAGTTAGAGGTGTCTACGGCTACGCACCACCTCAAACAACGGCCAACAAACAGTATAACAATGGAAAAAATATAGTCAGAAAAACGTAATGTTCTAACGGCTTTCTCCCTGGGTGGCCACTATGGAATTCAGTGGCTGCTCCCTACCTGATAGGTTTGATATCAGCTGAGAGCTTCCAAGTCAAAACATGTTGGAGCGATGACTCCCTATGTGCCTTCTTGTGGCCAAGACCGCATAGCTGCCGTGCATGCATGTGCAGGGCCGCACTAGCGAGAATGCTGGTCGTGTATGCCAGGAGTCATTTGGGCGGGCAGGCACAAACATACCACTAATACACTTTCTCTGGAGGGTCTTTCCTTGATCGAATCCCTAAACCGTAGGGTTACCTGGCTGTAGGCGGAAGCAAGGTATTCTCAGGTAGCTTGGTACCTAAGGCAGCCGAAGTTCCAGAATGATCCGAAGAGTGGAATTTTAGTTTTAGTGTAGATGCAAGCTGTCTCCATCGTAGGTAACGAACTTCTACGGTAAGCTTGCCGCATAGTAAGTCCAGACTTTCAAATATCCTGCGTTGATCAGTTCCTTCCGGGCCTTCACCCTCCTCAGAAAGCTACATAGTACACGAGTGCCACCAAGACACTATTATGGCATTACAGTAGTGGTGTGTATCTAGACGTGAGAGCGGTTTCCATGCACAAGTGAGCGATGTCCAGTAAATAGTGACGTGCAAAATGCTATAATGCAGCTGCAAATGGGGCAGCGCACCCACTCAAAATACCTGCACGGCATATATAAAAGCTATAAAAAGTACCAATGCCTAATAGTTCGTCATGGAACTTCATGCAGCATAGGCTGTCATAGAAGCTAACACCCAACAGGTGGACTTTCCCGGCACATCCTGGTCTTGCCGCCAAAGCTCTTGCATGTATACTTCCGACAATGCTTCCGGCATTTCCTGGACGTTTATTTTAAAATATTCAAAAAATTACCGCGCACTGAGGAGTTTCCGAGGTACTCGCAATAGAGGGCGCAGTGCTTCTTTGTTTGATTGAGGCTGCTGCCGCTGCGGGGAGACCAAGCAGTCCACGGCGGGGCTGCAGCTCTCATGTTCAGTCGGGCGGGAACATATAATAGCGCATCTACTTCAGGCTGTGGAATAGGGGAAGTGCTTTCCAAGGGGATCCTGCCCTTATATCTAAATTTCGGCCTGTCTCGGTTCCTCCCCACACATCAAGATGGTGAGCAACACCCGTAAAAAACATGCTATAGAGAAGAAGTGGCCTGGAAGAGGAGGTCCCCAGCAGATTTAGGATTGGATGAACACGTGAAAATTGATTGAACTGTTTTTCAACATTAGTGCTGGGGAATATATGAGTTTCCCCATAGTACATCACCGTAGGGGTCTTCCACAGCTGATTGGAGCACTTCTGCTAGGCATCGGTTCCCTGCACGGCGCATGGGGCTGGTTCTCTCTTAGATGCGTTATGTGGGAGCTCCACCCATTTGTTTTGCAACATGATTTGGTTATGAGTCTGCGGGCACCTCGTGGAAACTCCAAACCGCTGTGGGGAGGGTGGCTGATGCACTGCTGGATCCATCTGCGCTATTACCTCTTCATGGCTGCTGCTTGCTGTGTTTGGCATCCGACGCTGCGGCAGAGAGGCTGTGCCTGGAACGTGAGAGTTGCTGTTTATGTGGCTTGACGCCTGTTGCAGGTTGGCATCACGGCGCACGAACTGAGGCAGAAGGCCCCGAAAGACCTTCAAAAGCAGCTAGAGGACCTCAAGAAGGAACTCTCTCTGCTGCGAGTCGCAAAAGTGACGGGTGCGACTCCAGCAAAGCTTGCAAAAATCACACAAGTTCGGAAGGGCATCGCCCGCGTTTTGACTGTTTACAACCAGAAGAGGAGGGAGGAAGCCAAAAAGTTCTTCAAGGGGTGCAAGCATAAGCCCAAGGACCTGAGGCTCAAGAAGACGAGAGCCATAAGGCAAAGGTTGACACTGTCGCAGCGCAGGAAGATGACTGTGCGGTGAGTGGGCTGGGGAAAGCACGTCCTACGCCCCCGTGCTGCTTGCCTGTGCATGCTCACCTAAGGTTGTATCTTCACGCGGTGAAGGATGTGACTTCGAGTTGTTTCTGCTTCAGGCGTACGAAGAGAGTACAGAATGTTCCGAGGAGGAAGTACGCACTGCTGGCTTGAGGTCTCCGCACTCATTAGCAGCATACACCGTCTGGGGAGGCCAATCGCAACGTGCTAGGTATGAGCATTGCATTTGGACGCTGGGCTACTTTCCCGGTTCTGCAGTGCTCAAGTGGCACAAAGTAGATCAGCAAACGCTCCGCGATGCAGTGGCGTTCCCTGCTGCTGTGAAGCGACAGACTGCATCCAACTTCCTGTGTGAAAATATTTTCGAGGGTTTTCGTCGTACGTACTCAATGTACCCCGTGGCAGGAAGGCATGTGGCTCACAGAAGTATACTGTAGTACTCACCCAGCCAATAGGTGAGTGCAGTAGAAAATGTAGGCCTAGTATCCACGTGGCTTGAACCATCTAGAGGTCAGGCAGGCTGCTCAACGGCGGCAGCCTAGGGTAACCGACAGACAGTCTTAGGGCTCTGCAGGCGATACTTCAATGCCTCTGCGTAGCGCACTGTGCACTCCAGTGTACAGCCGCTAAGTTGCTAGGCCTTCGCTATGAAAAGCCGTAGAACAGTGCATGGTGGGTGGGTTTGCACACGGCGTGGCGACCGCTGATCCGTTGGGAGCGCGAAAAACGTAACAAAACAATGGACCGTCGATGCGCCATCGCGCAGTCCCGTTCCGTACTGTCAAGTGTAGGCTAGCCAGGCAGATGACGTGCACAGATCCCAGTGGGATTCGTGCGATGCTACTAACTAAATTTGTGCTACTCCTGTACTCGTTAGCCTTTGCGGCACTGCAACCACAGAACGGAAGCCTGGGGCGTCAAAGTTGTGCTCAGCGTCGCTTCGAAGCGGGGAACTCAATCGTGTGCATAGAATTGCTCTAGCTCTACTCCTGCAGCGCCTCTGGGCGCTGTTCAACGCGCAAACGATGTGGCCTTCACGAGCTGGTTACCGCGGTTCCGCCATCGCCAACAGAGCGATACGGACTACACTGGCACTGGGGACGAAACAGTCCTCCGCCTCCACTAGACAGCCGGTGCTTCTGGGCCCTTTGCACGACTGAAAGTGCCACCCAACAGAAATTCTCTGTCAAAGTTACTATCCAAGAGCCGACCCTTGTCCACCTGGCGGCGTTCTTGCCGCAGCTGCGAATACATAGACAAAACCTGCTTAAGTGCCCGTAAACACTTGCACGAGATACAACATTCAGCAGGCTGTGCCGGTACTGCCAGATCTCACTGAAGAACCCATACAATGATGAAATGACTTGTCATCATACCTGTTCCTGTTGCTTCAGGAGCTGCTGTTGCTGTTCCAAGGTGCTGGCATCGCCAGTGCCCCAAATTTCTAGTTCCTTAACATTGAGAGGAACAAGGAAATTGGCCGTGAGACTGCTTTCAACAGATGGCGGTGAAACGGAAGCATCTGCTCTCGGCTTTGATGAGGAGGAAGTCGCAGTGGCGCCTTCAACCGTTGTGGTGAGCCCGGAGAGACTATCGAGTGGGTCTGGCCCCTGTGGAATTGGCTCGTTCATCGTTTGTAGCATTCGGCCCGGAGAATACGTGCAGTCGCTCTTCGTAATGTAGCAATCCTTCATTTCTGCCGTTCCACACGTGCGCACAGAAACGAACGGTATTTCTACTCACACAGAGCAATGGAGGAAGCTACTTCCCCTTAGCGTGCTCTAAATAAAGTAATTATCCCGCTTCGTGCACGCGTTCCGTGTGGTCAGACTAGCAAGCGCACCATCCCCAATCCAGAAGCGGAATGCACCAACTTGGCCTCCAAAGCCCAAACCGATGGGATGAAATTTGTTTTTCGTATTTAGATAGACAAAGTTCCTTCCCAAGCCGCTCGTTCTGCAAAAAAAAGGCAGATACACCAAGAAGGACATGGCTATTCTGGAGCGAAGGCTCGTCTACGGTAATCCAGTTCCACCTATGTAGCCACTACAAGTGTATGTCCTACCTAAGGACATTCAACTGCGGCTCCAGCGAGAAGAGACACGTGTTAGCGTCGCCAAAGAAGTTGTGCCCTCCTTCTTTCAGTTCGCTGAGCGGGAATTCACATGAGCACGGCCACGGGCCAGAGGTATCACACCTTTTGCAGAGCCCAACAGACTAAAACAAAGTCGAACCGCTGTTTGCGTGTTTCCTGTCCTATCACTGCCCTCCGCACTTTGTAAGACACAGTATGGAAGCTAGTCCTGGTGCTGCGGGTGCAGCTGCACTGCATTCCCGTACCTTGAAATGATTGCACCAAGCACCTGGCCCTCTTCTGTTTTGACAACGGCCACCATTGGTGCAGAGTAGAAGAAACAATTTGCGCACAGTCGACTGAAGCTTGTCCCTGAGCCCGCAAACACCATGCTTCGAACTCTCAATAAACGCCAAAACCCTTCCAGGTGCAACGTGAGCTACATAAATAGCTGTCACTTGTAGTTTCCAAACGGTAGAAAGCGAACATGAGCGTCCTTTAGTGCCAACTTGCCGTGCTTCCAAGATGCATAAAGGCACGTCCATGGAGCCTTCGGGGGAAAAGGGAACATGGTCGACGTCATGCGCAGCTGCGGATAATACAAAACATGAGTGCAGCATGCAGATAGCCTCAAATAACCGTTGCACATGTGCTTTAGAATACTTTAATGAATGTAAAGACCATACCCCTGATATATGCATCTAAACTGGGGGAGGCCTACATATCTATTGGGGGGAAACATGTACAAAATCGCTGTTTCCCTCAATCTACGTACCACGAAGGCATGCTCGTCAGTGAAGCATCTGCTCCTCGCATCTAGCGTTCCTTGGCCGTGCCATCCCTTCGTTTCCTCAGATATCGCCTCTGCGCTAGTGCTGCGTTTCCATGCCGGAGACTTCGACACCCCCCGCCCAAATGAACTTGAGTCCGCTGTACCCCTAGTCGACTCCCTAATCGATGAATGGCCTTCATGTCTACGACGAGCTGCGTAAACCTGAAGCAAATACAGATGAGACAAAATCTACAGATTTCCTGTTCAGTACAAGCCTCAGCGCAGAATATCGTAAACAGCTCAGCGGATGGACAGAATGTGTCTGTTGCAACGTCCTAAGCGAGGCTATCGAGGTGTGCTCACAGTATACTGCACATCTATCGCGCTAGAATCATTTCTCTCAGGCTGCGGCTGGCCGTCGAACACAGTATCGCCCAGCAGGTGCGCTGCAACTCCGAGAGTGCACAGCGCCGGAAGCACCGGCAACGCCGCCCTAATCCACGAGAGCACGGCGAAGACCTCATTGCGCAGGCCACCACTGCCGATGGTTCCTGAGCTGGCATGAAGAATAGCTCCAGAAGCTTGGGCAGCCAGCTCCGTGCTACTAGTCCCTCTGCGGGTGCCACTGCCGGTGCCATTGCCAATAGAGCACTGCCCAGGCATCTGCGTTACTGCTACGGCCGCAGCAGCCACTGCAGCTGCGGTGGAAGTGGCGGCGTGAATACCTGTGGGAGCAATGGCCTCTGCAAAGGCTGAAGCCATTGCTCTCACGGCAAACGTGAAGTTCAACTCCTCCGGGAACATCAATTTCAGCGCAGGCGCCGCATCCCACGCCGAAGCCGTGTGGACACCACGGGCATTAACACCCTTGGTCTGTATTTCTTGGGCTTGATTGCAACTCAAGCCACTCGTTGTGCGAGCCACTTTGTCCTGGAAGACCGGGCTTTTAGGGTTTATCAAATACATCATTTCCAGATAACCGTACTGCAGTATTTGCATTAGTGCAACACAAGCGCGCGTGCTGCAGCCCAACGATACATACGTGATGCTCCGGCGGCTGCTGCTGCTGCTGACGCTGCCGCTCGCGCTGCGTTGTAAGGATCCTCTTCTGCACACAAAAAAGAGACACACAAGCCATGTGTACAGACACTTCCATCAGTGAAGCAGTTGCAGCCCATCCAATCAGATATCTCGAAGCAACGTCCGCAGGAACCATGCAGAGAAGCTATATATATATATATATATATATATATATATATATATATATATATATATATATATATATAGCCCCTGGACCTACCGAGGATCAAGAGAAAACCCCCCAATAGACTCCAGAGAATGACGGACATGCTCATTTTCCTCCGTCAACAGACTGCGGGGCTGGAAGCTCCTGGCTATCCTCCCCAGCATTCTCTCAGTAAGAAGCACTTCGGTCTCCGGAGCTTCTCCTGAGCAGCAGGAAGAGATAGAGTCAATGACTTCCTGCAAGGCAATGCTGTTTGCTGTCTTCAGGGCCTCCAGCTGCTTCTTGTTAGCGCGGGTGCAGCGATTGCCCATAATGCTTGTCGAAACACCGCTGTCAGGCGCCAAGCTGCTGTTGCTTAGAATGGCAAAGGACACCCCATGGGGGTGAGGGTGCACCTGCTGCTGCCGCGCTATTTCCTTCAACGTCGGCAGCAGCAGCATCGCGTGACCCTGTAGTACTCCGGGGAAAGCTCGGACAAAACCGAGCAAAGAGATGCGTGCCTTCGACGGCGACAGCTGCAGCAAAAATAGAAGTGCATGAAAGTAAAAACGGCATATAAAACCTTCACAACAGAGTCAGCGTCAGTGCCTGTGGGTGTCCACTTGCTCAATGCCCCCCGCTCTGGACGGTTCGCTCAGGCCACTATCTCACCTCATTAAGGCCAAAGTGGCTTAGCAGCTGCTGCAGCTGCTTCGGCGTCAGCTTCTGAGGATTCAGAGGTGCTGGTGAGGTGAAACGGCTCGCGGCTTCCCCCATCTTCGATGCGTTTGCAGCAGCTCACTCGGTGTCAAATAGACTCCCCGGAATCAAATCACTTCACCGGAGCACCTGTGGCCGCATCGACGCGTGTTCTCGTCCTTCGTGTCGTCGCCCTCCGCTCGAGTGTCAGCATCGGTTCTCCGGCAGCGGTAACCAGACCCGCTAGCCCCAAGGCAGACTCGAAGCGTGCAGAATGCAGCAAAAGCCGGATCTGCTGCAGTGCAAGTGAATGGCTTCAACTTTCCACGGACGCTGTGAGACAGAAAACTCTGCAGAAGCCCTATGATCCCACAGTTGCAACTGTGGCAGTAAGAGCCCCACTCAACTGCACGTGTACGCGGAACTGAAAAATTGTTTTTCCGAGCAAATAGAAAAGATATCAGGCCAAATGAACGCCGCCGAAGGCAGATGAACCCATCCAAGCTGTGTGTGGCCGTTCTTACAGGGATTCAAGAGAGCGCCGCACACGGATCAACGCCACGTGAACCTGTTTGTTTCGCGAAAAAGTCTCAGATAAAAACAGAAGGATGTCTGTAAATATTGCGTCTACAGATCCTCAGAACTGCCGAACTGAAGCACTGGTTCCGTTGACAGCTACTTGCCCGCGCAAACAGGAGACCAACCTCAGTGACAGAAAGAGTCCACGGGACAAACGGGCCTGGCTAGGTAACCCATGCACTCAAAAAGGGAAAAAATAAAATCGCATCATTATTCATCAATACTAATGTTGCACGCCGCGTAATCCCGAAAGAACGGCCTGCGGTAGCCGGCAGGCGGGCAGGGCATTGGGTGAGTTAGTTGCCACCAGGAAGCCTTGAGAAACTCAGTGCAACGTAGCTCATATTGAATCACTGAAAGAGGTACTTAAGGTGCAGGCACTGATCAACAAAGAAAAACTAGGGCTTAGACGGTCTGACTCGATTACTTGAGTTGTTGTTCCGCATTATTACAGGCATGCACTGGCGCCGCTGCTGCTTTCGGCAGGGCCATATGCGACAGGCCCAATGTATAATGCAAACAATCTGCAAAAGCCATTATATGATTGTAGTTACGCCGTGTAAGGATTAATGCTTTGCTGTTCCGTCAGCACGGCTCACCCACACAAAGATGAATTCTAGCAACGGCCACCACAGCGTCGGCCGAATTGATGGCGGGGATACAAACGGTCAATCAATGAAGCGGATGGAGGAGAATGAGCTAACATCAAATCAGGACGACTTGGGAGCAGCTGACGCATCTTCCAATCCCCCTGCCTTGGGTCAACACTCTGACGCCGAAACTTCCATCAGTTGCTGGGAGCACGACCGGCAGCCACCTATGACAGGCCCACGCAAAGTTGAATACTGCCCAAGTAAGCTGCATTTGGGACCCGGGGTCCTTGAGCGTGAGCTGCAGAGGATTTACGCAGTCGCTGCTCTCGATTTTCGAAGAAACACCATCTGTTCGCGTCTACCGTGCTTTGAACCCAAGGAAAGGTTGTGTGTACTTGTTTTTCCGCCTTTTGTTCAGCTTGCGGTATGCCATTTGAATACTGCGAGTTCTCGGGCGCCGCTTGCTCGAAGCAAGAGAAGGACGTGAAGGACCCAACACAAGCCTCAGTGGTGCAACAAAACGAACACGAGCAGCAGCTCTCCGACGAGTTGCAGGAGAAGACTGCCATCAACGAGGCAAAAAGAGGGGGTGCGAAAAAGGACGGGGCAAAGCCGGTATGCACAGCATTTCAATTAACATTAAAAGTTTGTACTTTTCAGCCATTCCTCACCTACAACCGCTCTGTCCACTGTGGGACTGCGCTTGCAGCGAAGTGCTGGGGACTGGAACACTCATCTTGATCCACCAGCACGTGTGTTAGCCATTCAGTGTTATTCTTGCTGCAAAGGCAGCTCAGAGTGACCAATGCTCTGTGGCTGCTGTGGGGTCTGCCTCAGAAAGTCGTGACTGTTCAGAAACAGGCGAAACGAAGGGGCAAGTGTTCAACTTGCGTATGGGGCCTTGAGCATTTCGGTACGCCGCCAAACTAAGTGTAGCGTTTCACTTGCATTTATATTTCATTCGTGCCTTCAACGTTAACTAATGCGTTACCTATTGATCTTGCGAGCAAGAGAGGGGATGCAATACTCTTGTTTCATTACCATGCATACAGTACAGGCACGAAGGCCTCGATTTTCGCACGGTCTAATGCAATGTCTCAGGCGTCAGGCAGGAGCAGGCGGCGAAACTTGCGAGCAAACACTTTGCTTGCGGCGCTTCATTTCAGAAGGGGCAGCCCGGGCAAATGCCATTTGTCGAGATTCAAGTGGGTCTTTGTTGAAACATCTAGTAGGTCTTCTGAATTCAAGTGTAGTGTGAACGCATGCACAATTCTAGAGGACAGTGACCACTACTGATTCACATGTTATCTGGCTTCTGCTTTCGGGCAAGGATATTTGTTTGAGGAGCGGGCGATGCGCTTGTGATTGTGTTGTGGATTCTTACACAGGGCGACGTGGAGGAAACCATTGCTGCTTTCCTTAACAAAAATTTCGACATACCCGGGGAGAAGATTGTTTTTCTTGCTGAAAAGTGATTTTCTGGGGCACTTAGGCACCCTGGATGCGAATGTACACAGATGTGCATGTGTGACACCGCAGCAACCGCAGAAAGTCCCACAGCTGCGCTCGGCTGTGCTAGGGATTGGGGTCGCTTATTCGTGGGGCGTGTTTGAAGGGTTCCCCTGTTTTGGGAAGAGTGTGAAACTCCAGCTGCAGTGGCATGTCGTGCCGCCTCCAGCGTTCCGCGCTAGGATTGGTGCTATTCGGCTGGAGGATGCAGTGGCTGCATAGAACGTAGCCCGGGAGACCAGCCGAGAAAGTAGCTGATGCTTTTGATTTCCTGCACTCTACAGACGTAGCAGATGCAGGAAGCTTTTGCACCTTGAACAGGACAGCACGTTTCGTGCGGGAGCCTTTGACTAAGCAGAATCCCGATTGCCAAAACTTTGCGCCTTCGCATGTCAAGTCAGCGCACGCGTTGCCTATGAATTGAAAAGAAGCGACATTGTCGGCTCCCGAGCTGAAGGGTTGTTTTCGCATCATTTGCTAGGCGGCAAGACGCAGTTAGGAGTTAGCGAAGTACGTTTCGCGCCACGCGCTTGCCAAGTTAAAAAGAAAGCGTCATTGAGTTTGCAAGGGTTGGGCCTTTCTTACCATCTCAGCGTAGCTGCTGCCCTGCTATTAGTGTCTGAGGAGGTTTGATGCAGTTAGGAACAAGCCAAAGAGGAAGCAATTCCCAAGGCCCCATATCAGCTGGTTCCACACCACAAACATGTACCACGGCTTGTCGTCAAACATTCCAAGGAATGGCAGATGATGCGTCACATCTGCCCAACAACGCCATGAGACATTTACGTTCAGCACGTCCGTTGAGGACTTCTCAGGTTTGCCATCGCGGCGAGAATCTTCAGCTTTGCTGCGTGTCGATGGCTCGGGATGGCAGACCGCGTAAGGCGTGCAGCAGCGGCTCCCCAGGACGCACATTAGCGACAGAAACATCGACACCGACAGGCAACAGGGGCTGTGTCCATCTGCGTATTTCAGGTTCACGAAAGTAGTAAACGGAATGAACCATAAGTGATGCGTGGAGAACAGCTTCTTTGTCCAGGGCTGCAGCGCAGAAGTTCACAACAGCAAATGTGTAAATTACAGCACCTAATGCGTTCAAGTGCCAAGTGAGGCTGCCATGGCGCACATGAAATGTGTTTAGCAACTTGGTGAGCTTTCAATTCATGCGTGACGGCCAGCAAAGCTGTCGCAGACTTGTACGTGGGATGGGGCCTACTGTGTCTTTGTTGGCGAGATATTTGGCAACACCAACGAGAAAGCGTCCGCGAACTACAAAAGAGAGAGAGTCAACGTACCAGAGCAGCTGATCTGCGAGGCACAGGAGCAATTCATCCACGCATTGAAGAGCTCTTATCTGTCAGCGGGCTCCCAAATGAAAGCTAAGTGTTACTGAGTGCCTTCAGAGTACGAACTAAAGCAAGTGCAGCTCGCGTGGCCTCTGGCTCCAAAAATGCAGGTAGCTCACCCACAGCCACCCAGCAGGAACACGCGCTGACGAGTAGCGGAATGTTCAGCCAAAGCGCTGCACACCCAGCACAGTAACATGTGAAACAAGATATTTACCTATGGCGCAGGCTAGGGCGAAGTTATGCTGTGTAGATGTGGCATAAGGTAAGCCACTGCGTAGCTCCTCACCGAGAGCAGTCAGAGCCAGCGACAAGTTGCACGCCCAAGCCGCGTCGTAGAGCATCATTGCACCCTTTTCGTAGAGTCGACTGGCAAGCATCAAAGCTACATAGACGGCCAGAAAAATTCCTAGAGATTTGGGATCAATGCTGCCCTTATCCCATGAATACAATGCGAATGCTTGCTTCCGATCAAACATCAATTCTTGAGGCAGGAGCAGCGCTGCAGCAGTTCGTCGCAGCCACTGGAAAGCAGGCAAAGAAACGAGACCTACAGACGTCGCCAAGTCTGTCAAATGCTGCGCAAAGTGAGCGACTGCAGGAGTCTGGCGCTGCAACCATAGCTCGTGAAACTCGGAAGGCGCTGCCAAAAAGGCAGCAACGGCGACTAGGAGAGCCAACCCAGCGTTAAATGCCAGCGCGCAAGTGGGATGAAGCCACCGGCGCAGCTTGGGATCATTCGGGTTCGAGACATCGAAAAACCACGACCAGATGCGGCACAGAGAAGCCATTTTGCCGTGTGTCGAGTTTTGCACTATTCCGTTTCCTTGCCAAGTTACAGGACAAGCCACCGTGTTTGCAAACTCCCGGGCAGAGGATGGCGTGCAGAAAGCACCTAGCCTCGTCAATGACGGAACTGAAAACCTAAAAAAAACGTCCTTGTTGTGAAGAAGCTCCACTCTGCGATGGTCACCTACAGCTTGATCAGGGCATTCCGGCTTGCACTCAACTACATACTACGGCGCGAGGCACCCTCCCGGCTGCTCATGTGGCCCCTAAGTCGATTCCTTTGAGCGCCAGATAAAAATCAAGTGTGGGTCTACAAGTGCATCATACTGTGCGAGGCGGTGGCACATCGCAGCAACTAATCTGGGTTGATGGCCGCCACAAGATCTATGGACAACAATCCCCCAGCATTGACAGATTAAATATTGACAAATAAGAAATAAACAAGCACTACTTTGGCTTCGTTGGCCTGCAAATTTTCTACTTGCACCGTGTAACTGTGGCTGCCCGCCAATCAGGTCACAGCCAAGCGTTTCACAACCCCCCATCCGAGCATGCGTCAGGACGGAGTACGATCCAGTCTAAATCAACTTTGCAGCAACACTAAAGATCTCTTTACTATTTTTAGTGTCTAAATGAGTCCTTGTCTCAGTCACGAAGAGTGCTTCAAACGTGCACGGCCCACTCCTGTTGCTCTAGGCACGTTTGCATCGTGTTCTGTTCCTGAGGCGCAAGCGCCTTTGTTAGTAACATGCCTGGAAGGCTTCGAGCTCTTTGGCCACTTTAATAGGGGATATTATCGCTATCTGATTCTTTCTGGGCCCAACGAACAGTGGTAATGCCCCAGAAGCTCTAAAGACAAGCAAGCTTGACTGCGAGGAAAGCTCTCTGCGCATTTTCCCTGCTCGAGGGGATGGTCTTGCTGCAATGCTTCCTCAGCTACGATGGCAGCGTCTTAGTTTTGTGGCTACGTAGTGCTTCAGAATTGCATCAGTAGTCCGAAATCATACAACTGGTGGTGCATAATTGACCTCGTGCTTCGCCCAGGCATGCCGTAGTTTAACTTCGTATGAATTACGAAAGCTTCTGCTTCCCATCATGCTCTTCTGCAGTCAAGAGCGAAGAGTTAATGTTATAAGTATGATTTGGGAGCACACTTGTCGCACCCGGGAACTCAAGTTATCCATGCGTCCCCTATGCCCAAATTTTCCTGAGCTGTGGAGAAGAATACCCAGGAAAGCCTGAGCGCACAACTTATGGTGCTAGGGCCTCCATGGATTCTAATTTTTCTTTCTTGAAACCATTTGAATATTCCCCAGATGCACGCACAGAGGCAGTTGAAGTACTTGTCTAGTGTATCTGTTGCCAGGTGGTTGGCCAAAGCCAACGGCGTCCTCGATACTAGTACTCGTAAAATGGCTGCAGCATAGGGGAAATTACTTCGAGCTCGCTGGGAGATGAGGGTACTGTTCACTGGTAGGGCCCAAGGTAGGCAAACGTATGAAAGCAAAAAGAGGTGGCCACCCAAATGGCAATGTGTAAAACGGTATATCTTTTTTTGCGGGGCATTCAATTAAAAACCGAAGGTGTAGCCACTGAAGATACCGCAGAAAAGTTTTGCTAGGTGTTTGAGTACTGAGTTGCCCTCAGAGAAGCAGGGATGCACGGTGTTAGCGACAGAGTCGGTGACCATTCCCCAACGGAAATTTCCTAGTTGACTCCACGAGGTGCTTTTTCGTGCTCATGTTGCGCTGTTGCATATCCCATTTTTCCTAGGGCACTGCTTGGTGAACACAAGCCTGCATGACAGACCCGTTTGGAGTGGCTCAAAAGGTTCTTTCATTGGTTTTGTCTAACCGTAAGCCTTTCATTCCCATATGGCAACGCCAACAGGATCATAGCCCCTCATAGATTCAGACATCAACTGAAGGCCCCTTCGGCCGCTAAGTCGCAATCTCGGCACCTTCAATACTTTCAAGCCAAGGTGTGCTATTACTGCCTGCCATATCGATTGCTAGCTGTGTGGAGACGCAAGCAATAATTCAGGCCTCTTTCCATGCGGAATATGTTTCGTGTACAGTTGTGAAGAGAGTCTTGACGTGTTTAAATGTATGCCCTTAAAATTTGAATCCCCACTCGATGCTGCATCGTACTGAATTGAGCGGGAACAAATTAAATGCCTAGAAGCAACAAGGGTGCTCTTGATCTACAGTAAGCACCAAAAGCTTCACACTTTAGGAACTCGGCTATTTCGCTATGGGAATAGCACAGTGGAAAGGTGCTGCTTCATTTCGAAGATAAAAGCATTTCCTGCGATGGCAAAATGCTTGCAGTAGATGGGGTAAGGCGATTGGGAAGTTCAGGCGCGTATCGTTGGGCATAGCAGCTGAGTCATTATAATGATAACAAGAGATCTTTGGACCAAGTTTTTAACCGTTCTGTAAGCATATTCATTAGTCAGCAAAAAAGCACGTCACCCGACCTTGAGCAAAACCACGACGACATATCACCTTGAGGGATATTAGATGGTAAAATATGCATGCAGTCCTTTCTCAAACCGTTTAGGAGGCGTTTAGATAGCAAGAAAAAATTGTTTTTTTTAATGGGCACGAACACGCATTGGCGACTCCATGCAGATCAACATGCAGCATGCACTTTCTCGCCGGGATTCTCCTTCGCACAAAAGGTGAACAAAAGGTGCTGAAGTTGAGAAAGCAAGTCTGTAGCTAAGGGCCCAAGAGTCCATGCCCACTTGCATTCCACACCAAACCCGTTTTTTTTGCAGCCTTCAAAGCTTTTGTTCAAGTATTTCGCGTTGCCTCCAGTATTTGAATTAGAAGCCCTTTTGCACAATCTCGAGCCAAATTCCCCGCCACAACCTCCACACCTTCCCACTCGTTAACCCAAAAAGGCACGGCTTAAGAAACAGCCGGTAATGGTGTGATGTTGGTACACCACTTCAGCGCCCTCCACTTTAAGCGCCGGTTAATTTCGCTGGGATGCTACTGCACACTTGTTAGCCGATTTCGACTAAGTTACCACACGGCGCGGCAGACCCTCAAGCACAAAGCTATACTGTCTGAAAAATCAGCAGCTCTTTTCCACGGATAAATTCCGGGCAAATCTTTTAGGTTGCTTCGGTCTGCCTTTTCTTTAAGTTGTCGTGCCGTATTTCGTAGGATTCTTATGACGCGTTCACGTTGCGGTGTGTAGGCATTTAAGTTGCAAAATTCGAGTTCACCAACGAGGCACTAACTGCTGACTTGCTACTTCGTCACTATTCATGTTACATCTCCTCCCGCAGTATTTTGTCCAGGCTTACTCGTGGGTGCTGCAGCAGCTCCTGTGTGTGTGTAGTTTACTGGGAAAATTCTGATGGAACGAACTCGAAAGCACAATAAGTTTGAAAACTTGTGTACTGCAGTAGCAGTGTTTTCGGGGACATCACTGGAATCAGTTGCAGCACAGGCTCTGTGTAAAATCCTGATGATGCGACTGCAGAGCCCGAGGGACTTATAAATCTTGGCTACGAATTGAAAAGGGTCTTCTTCCTTTTGTTAAATGCTGGTTACTCGTAAAGATACACCGTAAGCACGCGCTGTTGATAAACTGCACAGAGGCCTGATGCATGCACACTGTGGGGTTTGCAAGAGCTGGGCGCTGCAGCGCTCCCTCCCCGCAGCGGCGTAACTGCGGGGCTCCGTGGTGCTCTCAAAAGAGGGGTTTGAAGTACGGGATATTTATCTCCACCGTTCTTTTTACACATTTTTGAAAATGGCTCACGGCGCCAGCAGATATAAGAAGTCTAGGGCGAAGATGAGGTGGAAAGTGCGTTCCCCACGATGGCAGAGTTCTCTCGCACTGCGGCCACCCTACTTCATGTTTTGATGCCTTCTGTTCGTGTATCTTTCCCCCTGTTCTACCATTCCTGAATTCTGCCTACATTTTTTATACGTTTCTTTTGTGCCTTCAATGTTGACCTGCGGAACAAGCCGTGGAGTGCCCGCCCGCCGCTCTGCGCACATTTCGTCAGGGCATGAACCTCTTCAGTGAAGGTGGGAGATGCTGCCTTTGGGTGTTTGCGAGGCTTCATGTGTAACTTCTTATCATTCTGGGCATCTTTGGATTCCCTGGCACCTGGTGGTGGATCCGAGATGACCGTGAACAGGGGTCGGCTGCTGCAGAAACCTGGGCACGGACGTATCCACCGTCGCAGTTGGCTGGCTGTGGGATGCGTTGTGGGCGCACAACAACTCCTGTTGGCTTTCTTAATGTCCGAAGGCTTATCCTGATTTCATTGAGCTTTTCAATTTCTTTTATTCCGTGTTCGCTTCCCTTGTCTTGGAGGAAATGTAGCGGTGCCTGCCCAGGACAGCCGCATCGCATTCGAAGTATCGCAGGCTCTATGATTCAAGCGAATGTGACCAAGGCGTGTTGGCTTTCCCAACAACTTCGGAGCTTTTTTGCCCGTTCTCGTTTTCGTGTTCATGTTTTTTGTGAGTGGGGCTGTTTCGCCTTGTAGACAAATAAATTGTGCGTGTTCCATGCCTTTTTTTTATGCTGTTTTTCGTTGAAAGTTTGATAGGCTTGCTCTGATGACAACAAGGATAGCCGTTTCACATTCGCAGTGTGTTGCGTATGCGATGCCTCAAGCGCCTGGGGCAACGCCTGACGACCTCCTTAGATGTCTGAAAAGTCTATCAAATTGTGATAAATTTTTATCTCGTCTTCTTCTTTGCGGACTTATTCTGATGACAACAAGGATAGCCGTTTCACATTCGCAGTGTGTAGCGTAAGCGATGCCTCAAGCGCCTGGGGCAGCGCCTGACGACTTCCTTAGATGTCTGAAAGTCTATCGAGTTCTGTTATATATTTCTTTTATTATTTTGGGAGGACTTGCTGTGATGACAGCAAAGGATAGCCGTTTCACATTCGCAGTGTGTTGCGTACGCGTTGCCTCGAGCGCCTGGGGCAACGCCTGACGACCTCCTTAGATGTCTGAGAAGTCCCCCGAACTGTGGTATATTGTAATTTATCTTTATTTACGGACTTACTCTGATGATAACAAGGACAGCCGTTTCACATTCGCAGTGTGTTGCGTACGCGTTACCTCAAGCGCCTGGGGCAACGCCTGACGACCTCCTTAGATGTCTGAAAAGTCTGTAAATTATGTTGCATTTCCATTTATTATTTTTTGACGGGCTTGCTCTGATGACAACAAGGATAGCCGTTTCACATTCGCAGTGTGTTGCGTATGCGGTGCCTCAAGCGCCTGGGGCAACGCCTGACGACCTCCTTAGATGTCTGAAGAGCCTGTTAAGTTCTGAACTTTCCTCATTTTCATCTCCGTGCTGCTTGGTTTATGATGTCTATGGCGAGATACTAAGGGTTGCTTCTATACTTTTTGCTGTGATGGGATATCCGCATGGGAACACGACAAATTTAATTTTGTTGCAGGTTTATCCCACAGCACTTCTGGTGTTTCTGTGCAGCAGATCCCTTTAAAGCTCTAAAGCTTGCTCAGTTTCGCTGAGCAGCGCCCCGTTTTTAAAACAATGGGACATCTGTTGCTCCTGTTCCTTGCGTGTTTCCCTTCGCAGTGGAAGAAGAAGCGCACCAGGAGATTGCAGCGCAAGAGGAGAAAAATGAGACAAAGGTCAAGGTGAACGAGAAGGAATAGCAGCACACCTACAAAGTAACCTTCCAGTACACACAGAGGGGGTCAGAACTTGGGGCTTTCGCCTCTAAGTTCGCAGTCGCAAGGGCAGTTTGTTTGTCAGGAGGTGGATCTCCCAGTGGCCGTTGATTCTGCATAGCAGTTTCTCGCGCCATTAGGAACATTCGTTCGAATCATTTTCCATAGTCCAACGCTGTTGGCCACTCCGTGTTGCCGAGATTTGCTAGGATGCTCCTTCCATGGCGTCTCGACCTTGCTTCACCATAGCGGAGCGAGGTGGCAATAGTGGAAGTAGCACTAGAAGCTGCAACTGCGTCCTTCTGGACCTTATAGTCTAAACCTAGATTAGTGGGGGCAGCATGTGCTGCCTCAGCTGTCCAGCTTCCCACGGGGTGAGCTGCGGGAGTCCATTCTTCGTGTTTGTTCTCGTTGCGGATCCTCCGGTCTAGGCGCTAGACGGGTTTGCATTACTCGCCGTTCGTATTCCAGTTCCCTCGGGGTCTTCCTTTCATTAAAGCTGCAGCATATTAGCGAGAACCACAAAGTGCTGCAGCGGTGGTGTTCTGCGTAGTAGTAGTGCAGCAGCACTCTGCCTTGTTTTTGAACTAATGTGAATTGCTAGGAAGCAGGGGTAGGAGTGGTGGCCTCGGCTCACCCTGGGGGTAAATCATAAAGAGAATTGAAAGACTCTGGTCTGGAAATTGGGTGGCTTTCCACCACGGAGGCAAATACGTCGTGGTTCAGCCTTGGAACTAAAGGGTTGCGCTGCTGTGCGCGGCCTGTGGGAAGCGCAGCAGTGCAGGACACAGCCACTGATCCTTTTATTCGAGAACTACTCCGACAATTGCATATTCCACAGTCTTTTGATGAATCCTGCAAGAATTGCACATTTTCTGATAAGTTTTCGCTAGAATTGATCCAGTGAAAGCTCTGAAAAGACGCACCGTGGTACTGCTGCCTCGAGAAGCCGGCGCTGCCCTGTCGCATTTGAGTGCGGGAGCTGAGGGCGTAATGCGAAATGATGGCCACAACAATTAGCACTAAAACAACTGCACTGCCCACGAAAATAACTATAACAGTGTTTGGCATGGGAGATCCTTGCACAAAAGAAAAAAGATGCCATTTGCTGTCGGGCGCCCGCGAAGCGCCACCCGCCGGCGGGTCCACAGACGGCGCGCTGCTGCTGCTGCTGCTGTGTGGTCTTTGGGTTCGTTGCTGCGGCTGTGGAGTTGGGGTCTTTGTTGAGTTCAGACTAGTGGGGAATTCCAAGGCCCGGGGCTTGAGAAAATTCGCACTCCGCAGGCTCTGCCGCGACGAGCCTCCCGCCTCTGGAGGCGTCTCATGGGGCAGTTGTGTCGGATGAGGTATTTGTGCAGCTGCAGCTGCTGGCTGGAGCGCCGCTGGAGCATCTTTGGGGAATTTCTGTGAAGTCCAGCTGAGGCGTGAGATGCTTGCAAGGCGATGGGGCGCTGCACCAGGGGAGGCAACAGAAGAGGACTGTGTTAGTGCAGACCCTAGCCATGCCAATGCAATTAACAGCATTATTCCAAGAGGTACAGCTAAAACTTGGGGGCAGTTTGTTCTGCGTAGCTCTTCCGGAGCAGTGGTGACGTAGCGGACAGCGGGCGCCGCCGAAAGGAGCCACCCCAGCTTCCCCTAAGATGAGCAGCAAGGGGCAGAATAATACTCTATTTACATTGAAAACAAACCAGATTATGTGAAAGTAGCAAAAAAAATGATGGAAGTCACTGCTGGCGTCCACCGGCTCGGCGGTCTCGAGCGGCCAGCTGATCGTATCGACGGGCTGTAGGGAGCAAGCGATAAGATGATGAGGAAAAAATGAGTGACGCATTTAAAAACTGTTCAAGAATTCGAAGGCTTGCCAAAGTTGAGCATCGGCAGCTTCGGGCTGCAGACAAGTGGCTGGTGAGTCGTCATGTACTGCGGCCAGCGACGACCACCTCGCTTCTCGCGTAACTGGCCACAACTGCAACAACTGCGCTTCAAGTCAAGAAGCAACTTTATTTATATTGTAAAATATAATTGCAGTTAGACTCAGACGACCTCTACTTTTGAGCACAGCCGCACTGCGCAGCTGGGCTTGTCTTCCCCCTGCGACGACGACGCTCACCGGTGGCTCGTTCCTGTTGCTCATACTCTCTGGACTACAAGCTGAAAAAAGATGAGTTAGTTATCAACAAAGTCAGTCGTCTATTCAGTATTTAGAAGCCAACTTTGGTAGCGTTTAACTGGGGCTTCTGGTCACGGTTGCCGCGTTGCCGGTGTTGCTGTTAATCCCGTTGCTGCTTTACTATCAAATGTGACGCTCCCGTTGCACTTCTCTCCTAATCCTAGGCACAATGTAGAGCAAGTAAGTTACGCGAACGTTGCTTCGACTCAACAAGCCCTGCATTGCCCGCAATGCTGCGGCAACAGGGCTCTTTGCGTTCCCCCCGCTCTCAGCATAAACGACGCAGCCTCCTGGACAAAGGTTACTCTCATAAAGCCTAGCTCTTCCCGGTTTCAGGCTAACATTAAAGCAAATGTGGTCTTGGAAAGCGTTTTCTAGACGTTGCATTTCCGGGAGAAATGATCTGTGGAAAGCCCGCACATTCGGTGCGCTTTCACTGAACTCGCTTTGTACATATTTGAGGACTAAAATTGTGGGGCACGGCGGCTCTAAAGTGGCACTGGACAAAGTTGTGAGTTCCCCTTAACTCCATGCTGTCGTGTAGCGGTTTGGTTCAAGAGCTTTCTGCTGCATTTGTGCAGCTTTCCACTCTTTTGTGGGTAGCAGACATGCAAAAGGAAGAAGCAGGTTGTTATAGAATTGAAATACTGGATTTTAAGGCTCTCGAGCTGCTGATTGTGATGAATCAAAACACCTCCCAACACTGGGATCAAAACAGCCCCCCAACACTGAAACGAGCTTTCGCCTTCCTTAGTTGAAGCGCGATGTAACCTTGAATTAAAGCAGTGTCAACTATACTTTTAAAATAAATTAAAATGCTGCTTTTAGATAAGCGCAAAATATAAAATCAATAGCGCCAACGGCACATCTCGACAGAATTAGGGGAGCTCCTGAACCTACGTGCAAGTGCGAATCTGAGCGGCAGTACTTTTGCTTTCTCGTTTCTCTGGACTTTTCGGAGGGAAAAAAGGAATAATGAGCAGAAAAGATCAAACAAAGCCTTGACGCATTGCTGCGGGCTCTAAAAAGTAAGGGTCTGGGTCGTAAGGAGCAGCTTTCCACCAAAAGGGGAGGTAAAGTGTGGTGAACGCGACGGTGAAAATGGCAATGATGAATCCGTAGAGCAGCTCGTGGGAAACAGGCTCTACATGGGCAGGGTCAAAAGCCACATTTAGGGGAGGCTGAAAGTGAAAAAGATCTTCAATGTTGAGTATTGCTGCGCTGTACGAAATGCATGCAAGCGCTGCGGCCAGCCAGGCCAGCAGCCGGCAGCCAAAGCTGGCCCGCCACGCCCTGCGGTTGCGGAAGCCCGAGCCCCAGTGCAGCAAAAATGAAATAATACTAAAGGCCCAAAAGCATAAACACAACCCCACCACGATCCCCGTGGCGACGGAGAGCTTCTCTATGAGCTTCATGTCGCTGCAGGTTTCCTGCAGCAAAGCTTGCATGTCTGTGTCCTGCACTTTGCGTCCAGCGCTGCAAATTGAACGAGTCACTGCCCGCAAGTCCCCCGCCATGCGGCCGTACAGGATTTGGCAGAGTTCCAGAAACTCCGGAGAGTCTGAAGAGCAGTCCACGCTGAACTTGGCCCTGCTCAGGTGCAGAGTCCACGAAAGAATCTCACCATTGGCCACCCGCCAGTCCTGGCGATACCAAGGACCCGTCAAAGAAGCACATAGCAGCCCCAAAATAGCGCAGTCCAGCAGCAGCAGCAGCCGCGAGCGCAGCGCCAGCTTCCTGGGGTGGTTCGAGAAGAACTGGTGCCAGGGGGCCTTCTGCAGCATCCCGTCCGCTGAGTGGCCCATCGCTGTTCCCAAATTTAGTTTAAAAACAAGTTTTAATGTTTTAAACAGAAAATGCTTGCAGAAAGATACTCAGCGCGGAGATCGACGCAGCGACAGGCAGCGCCGCCGCCAAATCTGAACTTGACCTCCAACCCGAATGGAAAGCATCTACGCTGTCTGGGGGCAATACCATGCCCACGCCTCACTTTAAAATATTATGATTGCTAAAACTCGCGAAAATATAAGTTTAAATCGAAAGATTCCGGGGAAAAGCCATCGGCGATATCAGCTGGCACGGCGGCTGGACCAACAGACCTGCATCTAGCCTGCGCCTGCCAACAGATTTGCAGAAACGCTGCCACTCGGGAGCTCAATTTGTGCAAATTAGAGTTGGATTTTGTGTCTATTTTGTCCGAAATATAATTGGATTGTTCGATATGATGTGTCACTCAAGTACAATGGCCAAGAACCTTGACGCTGCGCCGACTGGGTGGGACTGCCTCGAGAGGTCATGGTACGCCTACTGGACGGTGACTAATTTGACAATCGAGCTGTTTCTCTTGACTTTATTCCATTAAATTCATCTATTGATTTTAAATTAAAGCATATATCGCGGATTTCGTTGCAATATTTCGGTTGAAGGAGGAATGCGCGAAGAGGAAAGCTCTAGTGTCCACCAAATCCGGGCTTCGCTGCCGCCGAAATCGACACTCACTCGGCGCCAGCTTCCCCGTGTCCACATTTAATTATATTTGCATATTTATATATTTGTATGGACTTCTATATTTACCTGAGAGCACAGAGAAATATGCGGACTCACGCCGTCTGAGGAGCCACAATAAGCGTTGACAGCCGCGAGCTGGTCCCAAACCAAGCAATAATTAGCGGAAAATGTTTATATATAAAGCACCAACTAATTATTTTGTTATTTTTAAAGCTATATTTAGTATTTTTTATCGAAAAGGTCCGTCAGAAGTGGCTGTTCTGCCAAGTCCTGCCTTCCAGTGCCGCCTGCAGCAAGAAGCCTTGCTGCATGCAGATTGCTCCCTAGTGAGTTTTCTTAAGAGCCTTTCTACTTCTATTTCTGGAAATTTCACTGATTGCTTCTCTATCCAAACACATATCCATTAAGATCACTTTTTCTGCGAAAGATTCAGCAAAAGTGTTTCAATTTTTACAAGACTATTCAGAAACTCGCAATTAGCCAACTTTTTTGAATCGTCTTTAAATATTCCACGAAAATATGAATAAAAAAGAAGTACAGCAACAAGCGTTTCTAAATTAAAACCTGTAGCGTAGTCTTTTACTGGCCCAGTAAGCTCATGCTTGCAAACTCCAAGAAATCGAAAAGAAGTATTTCTGGTACGGCTCCACTTCTGGCAAGAGGCCGCATATTTCTGCGGTGTCTGTACACCATAGAAGTGGGTTTATAGGCCTCTAATTCGAAGCTAATCATTTCAGAAATTGAAGGAATAAAAGTATCGAATTCAAGTTCATGCTGCACTTCGATCTAGCGATCCACTGCCAATTTGCACTAAAAAAGTAGCAGCACTCGCATGCTCTTCAAATATTCTCGTTACTAAATGAAAAACAAAAGGATAATAAAAGGATACATTTCGAGTAGCGCAACGTGAGCTGCTGCTGCAGCAGCTGCTGCTGCTGATGCTAGTTCGCGGCGAGCTGCTGCTTCTGAGCTTTTGCTTCTTCATTCAATTAACGACCAGCTGCTGCTTCCCGTGGCTTTCTTCTTTTTCCTTTTTTTCTTTTTGTTAAATTTTGCTGCTTCAAAGAAAGTCTTCAAACCCTTTCTTTGAAGCAGCAAAATATGATCCTCCGCAATGCCAAAAAGGAAAAGCAGCAACAGCAGAAGCTGCTGCAGCAAAAGCAGCAAAAGTCAACCCAACAAGGTGCTGCAGCACAGTCCAACTCCAGCAGCACGGGGCTGCTGCTGCAGCAGCTGGGGCACTGCAGCAGCAGCTGCACAGAGCAGCAGCAAAAGTGGCTGCTGCAGCTGCCAGCCTTTTGTCAACAGCCGCGACTTGTGATATAAACCAGCGCGTCCAGTTCGCGTAGCTAGCTGTAGCTAGCCAGACAGCTAGCTGTAGCGAGACGGCTAGCTAGTCCTAACTAGCCAGCTAGTCCTAGCTAGCCAGCTAGCTAGCCCTAGCTGTTCAGCTAGCTCCGGCGAGACACCTAGCTAGCTCTAGCTAGCCAGCTAGCTAACCGTAGCTAGCCAGCTAGCTAGCTCTAGCCAGCTACCTAGCTAGCTCCGGCTAGCCAACTAGCTAGCTCTAGCTAGCCAGCTAGCTCTGCTCACGCTAGCTAGCTCTAGCTAGCCAGCTAGCTAGCTCTAGCTAGCCAGCTAGCTCTACTAATGCTGGCTAGCTGCAGCTAGCCAGCTAGCTAGCTGGACCTAGCTCTCCTGCTGCAGCTAGCTAGCTGTGAACACCAAGGCCATTTGGGGTGTCTATCCAGCAGCAAAAGGTTTCTGCTGCGCTTTGCTGCAGTTGAACTTCAGAAGTAATTATTTTTAATAATCTTTTACTTGACACAAGAGGCTTTCCTTTAAACTACTTCTTTGTTTTGCTGCTGCGAGATTTATTTAAATAAATACTTTTGATGTTTAAAATGTTTGGCTGGCAGCAGTGGGGTGCAGGGTGTACATACATCCCAACTGGCGCAGTTCACCGAGAAGCGGCTCATAATTAAATTAATAAAACATTTTAATTTCTTTTTATAGGCAAAGAGGCTATAAGCATTGAACTGGACTTAACTTCTAATTAACTTTTGATTCTTTTTGCCCATGCTTGCATGCAGACCTCGATCCAGGCTGCGCTAGATGCGGCTGGCTAAGTGGCTAGCTGTGGCTAGCTGTGGCTAGCTCTGCTAGGCGCAGCTAGCCAAACGGCTAGCTGCAGCTAGCTGTGGCTGGCAGTGGTTAGCCGTAGCTAGCTGTAGCTAGCTGTAGCTAGTTGTGGCTAGCTGTAGCTAGTTGTGGCTAGCTGTAGCTAGCTCTACCAAGTGCAGCTAGCTAAGTGGCCAGCTGCGGATCTGCGTGGCTAGCTCTGCTGGTCCCCTGTGGCCTTGCAGCTAGCTAGCCAAAAGGGGCGCCTTTACTGCAGCTAGCTGCAGCTAGCTGCAGCTAGCTGCGGCTATTGCTGGCTAGCCACACAGCCAATCCCCCCCGTTTTGGTTCAATAATTAACACATTAGGTGCCTTTTGAGTCAACTTTATTCCACGAATGTCTAAAGCCTGAAGGGGGTTTGTGCAGTCCTGGGGGCCCCCCTGCTGCTGCTGGGGGCCCCCCTGGCCAGCGAGAGCGCAGCAGGTGCAGCCAGCAGCAGCAGCTGCTGCTGCAGCAAGACGCTGGGGGCCCCTGCAGCGCGCCGCAGGGGCCGCTGCAGCTGCGGAACTCGCGCTGCTGCTGGCAGCAGAAGTGCTGCAGAGGGCCCCGTGGCGCTGCTGCGCAAAGCCCGCAGCCAGAGCTGCTGCAGAATGCGCGAAAGCAGCAAAGAATTAAATTTGTGGGTTTGCTCAGCGTGGGGTGTCTACACAGCCCCCCGGCAAGCCGGTGGGGGGGGCCCTATTTTCGCGATTTCGCGGGGCATTTGACGTTTCCCGGCTCAATTTGTGAAGAATAACTCATTTATTATTTGAATAACGAAGTTTAACTTAAAGAAAAGGGCGAAATATTTAAATTCGGGGGGCTGCTCGGCGCTGCCTCGACGCAGCTCCCGGGAGTTGCGGAGGCGGGGGTAGGCGACTAGAAATGCGGTTGTTTTCTGTTAAATTGTGCGGAACGGGTTGAATTGTTTGCGTTGAATTCAAATAATTTCTATTTATTTGGTGAGGAGCTGCAGTTTGTCGGAAAGAGTGCGGTGGCGATGCTGGAGGCGCGGCAGCAGCTGCAGGCTCGATTTGTGCTGTGCATACACCTCAGCCCTGCGCCCCACCGGGGCACCGGCGCGCGGCAGTCGGAAAGCAAGTTGAACTCGTCAAATAAAAGAGAAAAGAGAGTAAAGTTTGCGTTTTGAAGTTTATTTTTGCAATTTAGGGGCGCGGAGGCGGCGAGCGGGTGCCACCGGCGGCAGAGGACGGAGGAGCGGGCAGCCCTGCTGAGCGTGCTGGCAAGGGGGCAGCTGCTGCTGCTGCTGGAGGTTTTATTTCGCGTTTTCGCTGGAAAAGCGTCTTATAATGTTTAATTTTGCGTTTTAGAGTCGCCTGTGTTCGTTGGTTTCGAGTTTGCCCGTCGCGGGTGGCTGGCTAGGCGTTTGGGAAGGAGAGTCGCGGGCGTGCGCGTCTCGCCGCTGCTGCTGCCGCTGCTGCCGCCGGCGGTGCTGCTGCTGCTGGGGGTGCGGGTGCCAGCTGAAGGGGTCTGCTGCTGCTGCTGCTGCAGCAGGGGAGTTTGCGGCGATGGCGTCCTGCTGCTGCCGTTGTTGCTGCTGCTGCTTTTGCCGCGGTTGCTGCTGCTAAAACAGCAGTGCTAGGTGTTTCGTCCTAACCAGCCGAGGGCAATTGGGATTTATGAAGAGTATGTTTGT